GAACGTCAGCTGCGAAAATATTCCAGCCACAAATGGCGTGTAATAAATTTTCCTTATTTTTTCGCTCGTACAAGGCACAATCATGACGCTCTGATTATCTTTTTTGCAACACTGCGCATTGATTTCGTGCATCACGAAAAGTGCGCCCGTTTTTGAATGACCGAATTTTAGCCTCACATGGCTTCGTACACATTAAAATTTTGAGGCGGATAAATCATTGCGGTGAACTTCCGATAACAAGTGTGCCGCGTAAGCAACGCGAGTTCCAATGCAAACTATGAAAGTTCCTGTTGTGGAACAAAAGTATTAAAATAGCCAAGCCAGAACAAAAAATGAGCGCTACTTTTTCTTAATACGATTCGCAGCTGCCACCTTTCTCTCGTTCGGGCAGTGTTTATATAAAATGGACTTCAGACCTGTGTACCTGCGTTAAAGTCGGCCACTAGCACGATTGACTCATCGGTAGGAAGCGTCGAATAAGATGCCGCTTCGGAATGCTGCTCCTGTTGCTGCTCAAAAGAGCTCGAAATGAGATAAGAGTTTACGAGATTACGCGTTTCACCCGCGGAGCGAGTGTCTCCTTGACTTTGAACCGCCAAATCCGAAAATTCTGCCTCACCATCACTGCTACTTGAATTATTTCTTGAAATTTCTGAAGAAAATTAAGAGTTTACCAAAATTGATGTTAAAATCGATTTTCAAGTCAAACCCACTAAAAATGATCGAGCTTGTGGTGGCTTCATAAATACGTAAATACGTCAATGTATGAACGATATATGAAAATAAGAGAGTCGAAGAATCGTTCATTACCTTCGACGAATGATGAAACATTGGCATCATCTGCAGTCGTCGCTCGCTCATCTGACATCGAAGTTTCTTCGGGCAATTTCGCAGCTCTCGTTCGCCATTTCAACAAGGATTTGAATCGACTGCCAATACTGGTCACCGACGGCAAAGAAGATGAAAACTTCCATCTCATCTGTTTTAAATTACAAGGGCCTCATCGATTTAGTTTGATTTAAAAGGATAGATTCTTTCTCCGCTATAAGCTATGTTTTTAAGAACAAAGGATTCTGTAAATTGCCTCGATCTCACACCAATTTATACTTAATTCTAACTAATAAACTCTATGGAAAGAATAAATTTTGAACGAATTAGTTTTTCTGCGTTGTAGCTATTCGAAGCAATAGAGCATTCGAAATCAAGCCGTTGCCGTGAAATGGAAAGTCGATGCTTTAACCGCACCTTCTAGTGCTTTAATTCGTCGAGCAAGAGATCGGAAGCTTGTCCGGCCTGTGATAGGGCAGTATAGCTAGATTTACGACATTTATCAGGTTCAATTAAAAATATATTTTCAATCAGAATGATAACAAAAAAGGTTCAAAAAAACTCGTCAAATTGCTATTGCTTTTTGCTATGCAAAAACTGCCTATGAAATTAGAAATGGTTGAGATATTACTCACTGATTTATTAAAAACTATAAGATTTGAAAAAATAAGAAAAAAAACTTTACCCTTTCACGGAATCTCTTTTTTAACGATACTCTTCTATCGACATCGCTCAAGTCTGATTTTTCTTTTGTAGAGTTTTCGTGGCTAATGTTGTTTATGGAAGAGGACGAGGATGAGGAGTTGGTCTCGAGCGACCCTGCGTCTTCATTTGTGTTCATAATTTTACAAATTTTTCTTGCATTTCACAGAGAGCGTGAATGACTAGCTCCACGTGTGTTACTAATAAATCTGAACGAGCGGCTAAACGTTTTGTCTTATCATTAATATAGCAACAACATCGCTCTGATAAATGTGGAAAAACTGTTAATTCAATTTAGATTTTTGATTTTTAGTTTTCAGGTTCAGATCACATCTTGGCAATTGCTGAATTTTGTAAGAAGACGAGTTTAACAAATTCTGAAAAGGTTATGACCTGAAGTTGGGATATTTTCGACGCGAACGTTTACTGTTAGAGTATAGTCAATTCAATATTTATATTTTTTCATGATTAGAAATTGAAAGTATTAAATTTTATTTGTCTTCGGTGCATAAATTATGTTAAATTGTAATTTTCTAGGCCAGTTTACAATGTCAATGCTCCAACGGCAAAGGAAAATTCGTCTGTTTGATGACAAAAGTCGGAAAGTTTTTTTAAAAATCTTAATGTATTACAGAAAAAAATGAGTGAAAATAATAAAAATGACTTTTTCCAACTATTTTTTGAAGTCACATTTGAAAAGAAGAAATATTTGTACCTATTTTTCTCAATCGGTTGAGAACAAGAAAGTAATTATTGAACATTATGAATAAAAAATATCAAACAAGTTTTGCTTAACATTTTTTCTTTTTAAATCATCATAAAATTCATTAATAAACAATTCATTATGAATCTAGTAGACGCAACTGATGATAAGAACCGGTGGTATGTTGATGAGCTTTATAATTCATAAAATTTACGAAAAATGTGTGACTATTACGAAGTTGTACTCATTTGCGCTTATAAGGAGAAATCATTCAAATACTTTACATTCACTCAACAGACATTTTCGTGATATCCCATTTGACAAAGTGACTACAGTCATTGCCCAAAAAGAATGCTAAGGCATTCACGAAAATTGTATACACTCATAAGCCATGACTAAAGAAATCCCATACATGAATAGCTGTTAATTTTTATTTTACGTGCGTAAAAATTGGTGAAAACTCGATTATCCAAGCAGTCGAATTGTCGTGATTCGTTAAAGTCTCCGTGGTGATGTTTACGTGGATGTCGATGATAAATGTAGGTAAATGTTCTTAGGTAAAGAAGGTATGCAAAGGCTAAGTATATGTGTGCGTACGCGTGTAGCACGGGACAGTCGAAAAGGTCGGAGCTGCGCGCGATCGGACACGAGAGTCGAGAGGCGCGACGAATGCGAATCGGTGACCTTGCCTCGGCTTACTATAAGCAGCTGCTGCCCTCGTAAAAGTTATTATTCTTTATACACACTTGCCGCGAGTTCTTTCTCTTTTTCAGGTGATCGTTGTATGGCAATTTATGCGCCTGACCAGCAAGTCAATAGAAATCCACTGGCAAACAATGTTGAATCTCGTCAATTAACAGACAATCTCTCGTCACAACTCATACATATATTATACACTTGTAGTAGATACATAATGTTGCCGCACAGTGGCTATAGGGCAGCAGCCATACTCATCGCTGGGAACTATGTAAGCCCACGTCGGCATGAAGTGACGCGAAGCCTTGAAACGCACATCGGGTCACGTTGTGCAGGCGATCGTTGATGCCAGGCCGTGATGTCGAAAAAGACCGACGAGTGAAAGTATTAAAAAGGCATGTGATAATCGAGCCTGTTGCCTTTGGAAGATTGCTTATCATTGCGAGCAGTCCGGTACTCGAGACCTTCGATGTCTCGCGTCTCTGCGCGGCTCTGCTGTATTCGTGAAATATACATGCTGCGTGTAGTGATTTTACCTGTGCTCGCGCGCGACTATAAAAAAATTAACGTTCACCGGTGCGTTACGAGTCGTAAGCGGACTCGCCCTTCAAACTTTCAGCGTGCAAACGTACGCAGTTCCGTTGCTATTATACAATTGTACATTCGTTGATTCATGCACAACATAACTTTATGATGAAAAATGTGTAAACTTCATATTTGTATGGAATAATCGTCGCTGCAGCGACAGTACCGAGTATCTCTCTTGCTAACATAACCAACTCGTGTTAATAGTGAATCAGATGATCTTGGCTCAGGGTCTATATCCCAAACGATTTACAAAAACGTTGCGAGCAGCTCGATAGGATTGTGCCATAACTGTATAAATGTGATGCAGCTTCAATTTGAAAAAACGTATAGATTAACACCTGCAAGATTTTATAAACGAGCGCGTATAAACGACTATTTACATGATATTTCACAGCTAACTGACGGAGGCTGGAAAAAGTGGAATTTGTATAATTCAGTGTAGCACAATGCACTCGCTTTGAAGCTCTGAGAGCCTCGCGATCGAACGAAACGGTGACAGCGGAGCAAGCTGTAAGCTTTTGGCTGCCCAGGCTACAGTGTCAAAATCGCGAAGAAACCACACCCATTTGCACTGTCTTTTGATTGTCTCTCAAGCAGTAATATGAGACGAGGTCCCGACGTTCCGACTTTTGCGGTTGGTGTTTCCGTAACCGAGATTCGTGACTTTGGAGCTCGACTGATCGAGCTCTCGAGTTCGTGTCACGATTAATTTTTCCAGCCTCGAAACGCACAAGAAAATTTTTAATGAGTACCTTTTAATTGTCTATTTCTAATGATGTCAATTTAAAGTTGTTGTAAGCATACAGTTTAGTTCTATAAATATGTAAGAAAAAATTTGAAGATTATACTAAGTTTCGAAATTTCATGTGCTGCAAGGCCTAACCGATGCTTCACCCGATGCAATGCTCCGTGATCAGCAAAATGTTTGGCTCGTACGAGATCATCGCAGCTTTTTTATAATCAAATTACGCACGAGACTGGAATCGTACTAGAGAATCATCGGGATAGCGGGAATAATTTTAGAAATATTCGCCGCTCATTAGCACGAAATCGAAAGCGAAACAATTATTCGAGATCGATACGATGCCGTTGACAAGCAGTTGGCAAATTGCTCCGAGCACTAAAATCGGGCACGTCTTAAAAAGTAATAAAACGCAGCCAGTTGATAGAGGACTGCATCATCAGAGAGTCTCTGTTGAATCGATCAGAGGCGTCGAGCGCACGGAAAGAAGAAAAAAAAATAGAATATCGCGTGAGCAGAGCTATAAACAGTTGGTGCCGCACTCGCGGGCACACGTTATCACAGAAGCAGTGGCAACGGTGCATCGTGCAGAGCCCGCAGAAAAAAGAACTCGAGTCAGAGGGAGGGGTATGCTGTAAAAAGGGGGGTCGAACAGACTCAAAGAAGATGCAACGAACGTCGATACAACGGGGGGGGGGGCGATAATAGCTGGCTGAAAAGAAATAGATCGCATGTGCTCACCGGGTAGTCAAAGGGCGTCTGGCAGGGCACGTAGAGATCTCGGCTCATGACGTTGCAGCACTAGTTGCAGTTGGCGTTCCGGCTGTGGCATGAGGCTGGCCGTTGGGCAGCCGTGAGCGGCCACGAGGTCGGAGACCGGTCGACGTCGACGAGCTCGAGGGCGGCCCCGGAGTCGGGGCGCGCTAGCAGCTGCTCGCGCTGGAAGCAGCTCCGATCAAAATCAGCGGAGTGGCTGCGCTGCTGGCGCCATCTGGCCGACCACATCGCCGCAGCAATGCTAGCAGTCGATTACTTATTACCTATATGCCTCTGGCGACTCTCGACTCGATTCACTCGATCCCCCTGCAGGCCCGAGCTCGTAATTCGTCCTATCTGGCTAGGCTCGTCGTAGTCATCGACGACGTAGTCGGTATGTCATTGGGCCCGAGCTCTGCCGACGCACCAAGAGACACGCATGTACGAGTAGCACCAACACTCGTTCACTAAACAAGCGAACGCCAAACACTGTAAATAGTCGCAGGCCGTGTTTCACTGCTAGACGACACAGAGAGGCAGTCGCGCAGCCCACGAGCACGCACACACTTGGACGGCTAGACACTGGCAAGCGGCAAGCCGCTCACTCGGGCACACATACACGCACACACAAGAGCACGGACAAGAGCACGGACAAGAGCACAGACAAGAGCACAGGCACGCACTCGCGGTAGCTAGCAAAGAGCAGCACGAAGAGCGAGCAACGCAGGCATCGCACTCTTTTGTCGATCGTGGCTTCGAAGGCTAATAATTGCGCTCGTTCGCTGGACTGGCTGCACGCAGCAGCGCGGGCCTCGCTCTACAGTGGCACTGCACTCTGCGACTTGTTATTATTATTATTATTACTCGTACATATGTAGATGGGCGAGGGCAGTCTGTGAAACTGGCGGATGACGCTCGATGACAGCCTCCTGTCACGAGGCCGAGCTGCTAACTCGGCTGGCGATCGCTGTCAGCGCGAGTCGTGCGGTCGGACGACGATTATTAGCTTGGACATGGCGACTCGCGAGCCAACTCATACTAATGGACCTGCAGCCAGTGCCGATGCTCTATCGGCGCTCCCGATGAATCGCCGCTTTTACTCGCCTACGGATCGCGGAGGCGTCGCCCAATTCGACGATGCTAATTTGCCTCGGCTCTGCCCGACTAGATCCAGATCCAGGAGAGCAGTCCGCGGCCGCGCCAACAACAAAGGAGGCCGTACAACGGGACGTCCTGTCAAACGAGCCACTGCTCGCTGCTCGCTATTATATCGTTGGAGTTCTTGCTTACTGGCGCAGCGGAGCACTTTGTTATTATTATTCTTTTTTTTTTTTTTTTTTATTCCACTGCTCGTCGATCCTCGATCAACGAACAATCCGAGTCGGATGCAGTACGGGCGCTGCTGCTGCTGCTGTTAACGGCGAATCGACGCTGGCTGCCATGCACACAGCACACACACAGGGAGTAGCTATATACGAGCCAGCAACGACACGAAAGGCCTGCGTACGCCAACTATAACGAGCACGTTGGCCACTTGCAAATTAAAGTATTTGAAAACGAGCCCACTGACCAGTGACCACTGCTGCTGCTATATAACACTGCAACACAGCAACACGCCACACACACACACACACACACATGCACAAATTTCTAAAGAAGCTGGTTCGCAGCAATTAAGAACAAAACTAGAATTCACACGCGAGCGAACACAGACGGAGAGTGGAGAGGTCTGCACCGAAGCTCCGGGCGAGCTTGACTGCTGTCGTAGTGCAGCTATACGCGGCTGTGCGATCGCAGCTCGACTTGCTTCGTTGGTATGGGAGAAAACGTCAAAACGACCTGCTGACTCGGATAATGGCGCTGCACGGGTAGATCGCGCAGTCAATTCAGGAGAGCCGCGTCGACTGCCGAGAGTCGAGCATAACGAATTTCGAGACTCGAATAGCGTTGCAGCAGCGACATCTGACGGCTCGAGCTAGAGTCGTAGCTCGAGCAACAAAACAGCTTGCTTACTATTCGTTACGCGCAGGTCTACAAGAGACGCGTAATACTCGTTATTCATCAATCGAGACAATTTCAATTGGAATAAAATAAAAAGTCGTGGTGTTGCTTTTGCTTTATTTATGAAAAATATCCTGTGAGACTGAATACATCGTTGGGACGGATAAATGTTAGCGGCTTGGGTGCGAGCAAGCAGAATTTTACGCGCTCGCCATAGGTACAAGTCGAGGATCGGCAGTGGGGTTGGCGCGCATCGGCCGTTCCGGCTCGGCAAAGGAGACGACTCAGGCTCGGGCCACGAGCTGAGTCTGGATCTCCTGGAGGCTCTTGCCCTTGGTTTCCGGCATGAGAAAGACGGCGACGGGCGTCGCCGCGAAGGAGAGGCCCGCGTGGACGAAGAAAACGTAGGGCTCGCCCACGAAGTCGACCATCGGCTGGTAGGCCTTGACGGGCAGCATGGCGAAGAAGGCCGTGGAGAGGGTCGAGACGAAGGCCGCCGTGTTCTTGGCCGTGTCGGAGAAGAGCTCGCCGAGCATGGCGGCCGGCACCGACTGGAAGCCCAGGGAGAAGGCCACGAAGTAGAGGACGATGCAGCCGATCGGCAGCCACTGCAGCTCGGCGCGGCGCTCGCCCGTCTGGAGAAAGTGCAGCGCCAGGCCGAGCATGGCCGCCGTCGTGCCGAGGCTCGAGGCGACGAACAGGGGCCGTCGGCCGAAGCGGTCGATGAAGCCGACCGAGGCCAGCGAGGCCAGGATCGCCACGAGGTTCACGTAGATGACGGCCTGCTCGGGCGGCACGAGGCTCGAGCGGGCCCGGGCCAGGATCGTCTGCATGTAGGAGCGCAGCGCCAGCGAGCCGCTGAGCAGGGGGAGGGCCGGCACCAGGCCTATGAGCAGGAGGCAGCGGCGCACCGGGGGCGCCCTCAGCTCGGCCAGTCGCTCCTTGAGGCCGAAGCTCGCCGTCGCCTCGACGTACGAGCGGACCTGCTCGAGCTCGAGCAGCCAGTCGCGGCCCGGCTGGTAGAACTCGATGGCCCGGCGCGCCCTCGCCGCGTCCTTGCTCTTGAGCAGGTGGTAGGGCGAGTCGCGCAGCCACGAGAACAGGCCCAGCAGGCCCAGGCAGGCCAGCAGGTAGAGCGAGCTCGAGAGCTGCATCGGCAGGTAGGTCTCGGCCACGAGGCCCAGCACGATGCCGATGGCCGAGCCCGAGGCGGCGATCGAGATGCAGGTGCCCCGCACCCCGGAGTCCACGACCTCGCTGAGGTAGAGCGAGAAGCAGTTGTAGGTCATGGAGAAGCAGGCGCCGCCCACGAGCCTCGACGCGTACACCCAGCCGATGGAGCCGCGAAAGCCGGCCACCAGCAGGCAGAGCCACTGCGAGCTCAGGCAGCTCGTCACCAGCAGGATGGCGTTCCTACTGCCGAGCAGCTCGAACAGGCCGAAGCCCAGCAGGGCCCCCAGGAGACCGCCGAAGCCCGTGCACGAGGCCACCAGCGACGCCTGCTCCTTCGTGATCGGCCCGATCGAGCTCGCGTTCGCCGTCTGCAGCCGCTCCATGTTCGGCGACGACCAGCCTATGTGGATCCCGATCTGCATCACCATCATGAACACTTGCAACATTGGTAACCCGATGCTTCGTTAGCCTCGTACGTCTATGTGCACTCGTCGTTTATAACGAATTAAGGCCACATCCCTCCTCCAAATTGAAAACGAAAAATGTTTTGATGTGTTTTCAAATATTTTTTTCTTTAATATAATAAAACGACGTATTTTAACGAAACTTTTTATACATACTTTATTGACCTTACCAACCATTATAATTTTTTGCCGCCCAGTGTCGTCTGCTAACATTATTTCAACAAAAACGCGAAAAAACCGTGTGGGGAACAATTAAGAAAAAACCATTAATTTTATCACCCTGAAATTTTAACACAATAATCTGTCCATGTTACTGCTCAGAATGAACTAGAATAGAAATCATCATTGGTTAAAAAATAAAGAAATAACGGCGTTTTTTCGAAAATCGAACTTTTTTTTTTCGATAATTGTTTATATTGTCGAAAATATTATGCCGATTTTTTCTATTCTAATTCATTCTGAGCAGTAGCATGGTCAGATTATCGTGTTAAAATTTCAGGATTATAAAATTAATGGTTTTTTCTTAAACGTTCCCGCCGCGATTTTTTTTCGTGTTCCTTTAAAGCAATTGTAGCAGGCGACACTAGGTAGCAAAAAATTATAGGAATTTTTTTTATATAGTATGAGGTCAATAAAGTATGCATAAAAAATTTCATTGAGGTACGTCGTTTTATTCTATTACAAATAAATCTTTGAAAAAACATTTTTCTTTCTAATTTGAAGGAGGGAAGTCCCCTTAAATTAATGCTCCTTCCTCTCTCTCTCTATACCCTCTTTTTCACGTCTACACCCTCGATGTAAGTCTTGGCTATTGCTATTGCCGCCTATAATTGGACCAGTGAATGACCATTTTGGCAAATACATTATGAAAGATAATTAAAAATATATTTTTATCGACGTTACGCGTTTTCTACGTCCGATGGGCATGTAACAAGGAAAAAGTTTAAATATTGCCAAAGCGATCGTTTACTGGTCGAAATTAGCCCACAATGACGGGTACAAGTAGCCTATCGAGGATCACTCACCTCCAAAAGTCGCCGTCCATTGGGTGAGACGTTGCTTGCAGTTGGCCGGTACACAAAACAACGAGTTTGCGCGCCAAATCATGGCTTTTGACAATCGACCTCGCTAACGGCTTCATAAACCAGTTGAAATCGAGCCTTAGTCGGCGAATCAGCGAGTCAGCCAAGGCGACTTTACGAGCGAGGACTGAAAAGTGCAAAGCAGCCAACGAGTCTCGCAAAAATGTCGCTTCTCCGAGGCTTATCGGGACGCCGAGGCGCTACAGCATTGTTGCCACGCCACTTCGAGATAATAATTATATATTCTTTATTGATTCGGCCGAGCGATATATACGCATATATAATAATCGCCCATTCGAGCCGCAAGAGTCGGCCAAGCTCGAATTTTGTTTGCTCGACGAACGACTGCATCAGACGAGGCCGTAGATCGACACCCGTACGGCTATCTCGGCAGGCAAACAATCGAAACGACGCGCTATCGCACGTTTGCTTACCTTATACGCATGTTATATACCTATATGCGTGCGACAAAAATCTCCAGTGCTGGATTGCGCGAATCGAGTCGAGTGTAGAGAACGCTTGGCTCGTTGTCTTCTGCATCGAACACAGCGGATTTCTACGATAAATCTTCCGATCGGCTTCGACATCGGCTCTCTGCCAATCGATATCTTTCGGACAATTGTTTTCGTAGAAGAGGGAATGAGAGCGATATCGAGCTGACATTCAAACGACTTGGATGGGTAAAAGTGCAGTCACCTCTGCCGATAAATTTGGTCACTTACGCCTTGCGCAGAGTATTACGAAAATGCAGCCGTGTCTTGGCCAAGAGGTAGGAAGCAGCAAGTGAGTCAGCCAAGGCGAAAGTTCGTTAACCGCGTCGACAAAGCCATCGCCGCAGTACCGACGCAAACTGCGATACCATTCACAAAAGCCCAAGCATCTCTCTCTCGCTAGTCGAGCCAACTCGCTCAATGAATCATCGATTACCATAAATATGCTCATCAACTGACTCGGCTTTTATCAAAACTTTTAAATCGTAATAATCGAATGGCTGCTTAGGATTGAATAAACGCGAGGGAATCGGATCGATTTAACAATTGTTGCTCCCAATAAAGACACCGGCGACATTTGCAATTTCGTCGACGCATGCATTAAGACAATTATCACCAGCCCCCAACAACTTTTTATCTGCTTCGATTTGAGCTTCGCCTTGAACTTGACCATTTGACATGTTTTCGGACTTGTCGCTGCTCGACCGCGACGAAAATTCACAAGATTCCAGTGCCTTGTTCGATCCATCATAACAATGACGTTTGAGCCGAAAATCATCGTTATCTCGCGCAGAGCCAACTGCCTCGAATCCTCTGTGACTCGGCGACGGATCGTCGATCGAATCCACTTGTATCGCTGTTTCGCTCTCGCTATCAACGACTACTTCTTTATTCAGCTCGATCGAATCGTCAAATCTGAAATTGGACATACATGCCGTGTAAATGAGTACCTCGTTCTAGAGAACCGAACAATAGATGCTTGAGCCAGATTATACAACAAAGATGCCAAGGGGACAAAATTCGAGCAGTCGACGCGTTTGTACTCGTGCAGTTGATCGAACAAAATCAGTTGGCTATAATTACCCGAAGCTCCGTTGCTCTGGAGCGAAGCAGTCCAAAGGTTCGAACTCCGACTTTGCTTGCCTCGGCTCTTCGGTAGGCCGAGCAGACCCGAGAGAAGCTGCCGCTGGATGCTTTGCGCCTGAGCTGCTGGCAGCACAATCGACTGCCAAGCCAAGCGGCGATCGTTCATCTTCTTCCTCGGCCAGCAAGACGTCCGTCTCGATCTCGTTAGCCTTGGTTGAATTTCGAAGCAATCGCTGTTGCAGCGGCTGCGTCGGACTGCCGGAGCCGAAGCCTCCGACGGAGCCTCGACGAAGGCAACGCAGCGGCTGTTGCTTGGTCGGCACTGGTCCCTTGGACGAGAGCACGACGAGAGCCGCCTCGTCGATTTGACCTTTATTACTGAGATTCATGGCGCGAAACTCGGCGAGCAAGCGAGACAACTTGATGTTCAAAGGCTGAAGCTCGTGATCGATGCGCAGAATCGACTCGACCCCGCGATTATGGTTGTAACGAGTCGTCGTCGCCGATGCCGAGGCCGTTTGCTGGCCCACTCGAGACCGATGAGGAATGGCTCGGGCGGCGTCTCGCTGCTTTCGACGAGATCCAGCTCGACGCGCCGGGGAGCCCTTGGCCGAGGCGTCGACCGACCTCTCCGTGGCTCGCTCCACGTCCTCCCTCGCGCTCGCCTCCTTCGAGCGGCTGTCGTCCGGCTTCTGCAATAGACGCGACCGATCAAGGCCTCGCTCCGGCCAAACGCGAGACGCGTGTCCGAGCCTAACCAATGGCGTCCGATCCGAGTCCAGCTGGAGATAAAATCCGGTCCGCTGCCTGGTCGAGTCGTCGCGGAGACAAGATTCGCGATCGCCGGCCTCGTTTGCACCAGCGACGTCCTCGAGCGACTCGAGGAAAAACGTCCTCGGTTGATTTTCCACTGGTCCGCTGGTACGCGGTCGATCGATGCCCTCGCCAGCAGCCTCCTCGTTGGCTATCGTTATGGGAATCCGTGGCTCGTCGGATAAGCAGGCGGCGCTCCGGATGCCAGCGACCGTCTCCGGGTGCTTTGGCCCGCCGATGTCCGCTGCCGAGCTCGATCGGTTCAACGGTCTCGGCTCGTCCGAGTCCAAAGTTCCCCGGCCCAAGTCGTCCTCGATGTCGCGCGGATCGCTGCTCTCGAACGAGTCCGTCGAGCTGGAGCTCCTCGCGCTCTGCATGTACTCGCTCGAAGTCTCGTAGTCCATGTCCGAGGCGTAGACCGACGACCTCGACGTCATGCTCTTATGGCTGGCTTCGTCAAAGCCGCTCGACTCGCGAAACATGTGAGTCGGCGCTCAGCAGCTCTTCTCCTTCCTTTCAACGATTAATTTACCTTTAGCACGGGCCCGAGAGGTTAAAGCCGAGACAAGTATAAAACGAAGAGTCCAAATAAATGCCGCTTCGGCTGCTGTTCGATAAGCTCGCTCGACGTTGCCGCTTGCCGCCTGCCAGAAATGTGGCTCGCTCGCGCTATGAATGTGGTTGATAGTCATTCCTTAACAAATGATTGTTTGACTTAAATGTCAACGGCTCATATATACGTACAAATACAACTCGATTCCGCGATAAGCCTTTACCCTTTTTTTCCATTGAAACAGAGAAATTGACGGGGATGAAAAATTTTATAGAACTGAGCTTACCATATCAAAAGATTATTTTTTTCTACAATTCAGTAAATTTTTTACAGATAATAAATGAAATAACATTTGAAGATATGTAACAATTGTTGGTGCTTTCATGGACATTCCATTTGCAATGTTTTTTCCTTTTTATTTTTGCAAGAGCAAGAGCATTTCTTGACAGCTTTTCTGCAGCAGGCCCGGTGCCTCTTCTTCTTTGGCTGAACGAGGAGCGTTTCGGGAATCAGTATCTCTTTCCAAGGCATTTCTACGCTATTTTCCGGGCAAGGCTTTTCTTCCTCATCTTTGAGCCGCGCCTCCGGGTCCAGCAGTATAGACTCCCAAGGGACCTCGACGTCCGAGTCGCACTTGTCGGACTTTTTCGTTTTGTAACGCGGCTCGTCCTCGATAAGTATTTGCTCCCACGGCAGACGTATCGTATCCGATGCCAACCTCTCGACGGCTGCCGACTTTTCTGCCTCTTCGTATTCATCTTCGTACCGATCAACTTCTTCTTCGGCCTCGTCATTTTCTGCCGCTAAATACTGTTGAGCAAAAATAATAATCAATTGACGTACGAATCGTCCTCTATCGTTATTGTAGTTTGTAGCGAAATTACGCACATCTAAGAACTCGAGATATGCACTCAAGTCCGAGTCTCGGATGGCAATTTTTTCCCACGGCAGTTCCAGCCTCGTTTGAACTACCTGGCTTGAGCTTTGGCAAGAACTACTATCATCGATACCGATTAACGTTTGTCTCACTTTTGCATCCCTATTTTTTCTTCTGCAGTTTTTTTTCTTTCTCGAGCAATGGCACTCGTTAGTATCCATCTTTTAATCTTTTGATTTGAATAATTTTTTCTATTTTTTTTTAATTTTTATTTTATCGAACTACGCGTTTTTTTCTCATATTCTGTCAAATTTTTATGGCTACGATAACCTCATAAGATAATTAGTGTAACCTTTAGGGTAGGCGACAAGCAGCGGCACTTGTTTTCTTCAGAATTCTGTGCATCGTAATGACAATTAAACTTTCACGTCACATAATGGTAAATACGTCAATCTATGGGACTTCAAAGTAAAAATTATAAAAGCTCAGTTTAAGCTATGCAATCTGAGTATTTTATTATCTTGGCCAGTCGGTTTGAGACTTGTTAAGTTAGCGCCAAAAGTTTTTGAAAATGCATTTCACGAGTGGAGAAATAGCCCATTGAATTCCTCCTTACTTGCGGATAATTCCTCCAGTTTTATATTTACTTGCGGAATTCGCGTTAAAAAGTTATTAAATAAACAAAATGTTGATATTCGGCTGGGCGCTAATTTCACTTTCACATTTCAAACATGCTACAAGCGGTTTATTGCACTGAAACAATTATCAATGAATTCCTCCTTACTTGCGGATTATATATATACCGATTAGAACGCGAAATTCGATTTATACATGAATTAAAATAAATTAATTGCTATAAATTTTCATAACATTAATTTAAATAAACCATGCGTATCTAAAAATAACTGATAAGGAATTAGATCAATTATAATTACATATAATTAATTTATTTTCTTATTTTAATAAAAAATTTTGTATACAAAAAATAATTTATTCAGTTTCACCAATCAATTTATAGTACTGTGTACATATAAAATAATATCAATTTTTTCTTCTGTATGCTCTAACTTTGAAATTTTGAAAGAATTAGATTTTTTTTGTTGATCATCCTTAACGGACCATCGATCATTCACGGACCTACAGTACGCAACATAATGTAACAAATTTTTATCATATTTACTTGTAGAAGATAAAATCATTCCAGCTAGAAAATATAATTCATTATTGATTTTTAAATTAATTGGAATGCTAGCTGGATGTATGGAATTTGAGATATTAAATTGATCCATGGTCAAAAATAGTACAGGTGCTTGAATTTTTTGTTCTTAATTTTTAGATGTTTATCAACATAGTTCGCTAAGCTGTTGGCATTGAATAACTCATCTTCGATTGATTTTTCAAGTTCTATGATTAATTCATTTTCAATTGATATAAATTCACAATCTTGAAAAACTATTTTTACAAATTCTTTTACGTTTAAATTACATTTTATAGTTCCGTTTTCAACAGTGAAGTATTTCAGACAATGTTTTAAACGATCTTTAGGCAAATTTGTATAATTTCCAGACTCCATGTAATTAATGATCGATGCATTGATACAGAAGTGGCTAGTACATGTACTGACTATAATATTTTTAAAATTAGCATAATTAGAGCAGGCTGAAAGGCATAGCTCGAATAGACTATCAAACAGACACGAAGAATCAAATTCGTATTTTTTTCTGTCGTACTCCATCACGGAATCTTCATTAGCATTTGTCAGCATTTTTAATTTTTTTATACTTGGCCTATATCAATATTTATAATATAAACAAAAAAAAATTATTTAAAAATAGCCGTATTTCGGCGTTCTAAAAATAGTTGATCCTTTAAATCTGAAATAAAAAATGGAGGGTTTCATTTGAAAATCGATTTTTGGGTCGCTATTGCTTTGAGATTATGTTCAAGATCAAATCCAAGGTCATCAATGGATTTTCCGTCAAAAAATACGTTTGATGGGGTTTTTGTTTTTTCCTCCGCATATTTTGCCGCTTTTAGGAGGTCCCTATACTTTTGTGACACCCTGTATAATTTTCACCTAAAAAAAATACTTTTTAACCAAGACTCTTAAACACTTCTCGATTAAAATCATTTGCAACAAAAAATTTTACTATTAGATTTGTATTTAATGAAAATTTTGAGCTAAGGCATACAAATAGTAACAGGTGCAGTATTAAGTTTTGCTTTAATTTTAGTTTTTCGTGATGTGTTACTACTTTTAAATCAAACAGACATAATCGCAATTGAATTAAATTTCCTTACAATTATAAGTTTCAAATTTCATTTATAACTTTGTACAGATGTATTATAAATTGTCTGAAGATTTTTTTTCTTGGTTTAATCATAAATTAACGATTGTATCGATTTTATAAGATGTAATTATTTATAATGATTACATTATATAATGATTCATTAACCATTTAATTACAAAATATTAATTACCATATTATTTGATAACATAGCAACTTGTGAAAACTAAGGTATGGTTAAAAAGTAAGTTACCAGTCTTCTTACTATAAAAAATTAATTTTGCTCTTGAAATTATTATGATTAATCTGAACCAAACTTGCAATCACATCAAATCAAAAGTAGTTATCAGCGAAACAAAGAAATATATCATTGCTATTTTGGCAACAGAGATGCACTGGCTAACAAAATCATTTGAGATAACTATGCTAATTTAATAGTTGCAAACATTTTTCTAATAAATATAAAAGCAGCAAAGAAACTAATGGTTCCAGTAAGTAGCCAAAATGTGATAGCCATCAGGCTCATATAAACGAAATACATCAAAGTCGGAGCTATCTCTGTTATATTTGTTTCTACGAAGAAATAATATATTGAAAATGCCAATATGTATACGGCAGATGCTCCACCGTATATGAAACATCTCCACCACCATCTATAATCCTAAAATGAAAAATTGTTCAAAATGAATTATGAACTCATCAAAGCAATTGCTAACATAATTGAGATACTTACTTCCTTAGATAACTGAAAATAAACCGTAATTATAGAAATTTCTGAACAAGATATTACCAAGTAGATAAAAACTATAAATGAAAATTCTGAGACAACGTATAAATAGTTTTGCCATAATGCAGTCACAATGTCAAACAAATCAATCAAAGCTATTGAAAAAGGAAATACACTTGCCGCCATACTATTAAAAACAAAAGGTTTATTTTAAGATACAATGAATAAATGATTATAAATTTGTGATTTCTCAAACTTACCGGACTAAAGGATTCAAGTACCATACTTGATCAGGAACTTTACTTGGCTTTTGCTTAGTTGTTACAGGATAAGTAAAATGGTTTTTACAATAGCCAAAGAAGTATCCTACATAAACTAATGGTAAGGAAATACCAAACCAAGTGCATAGCAAAGAAATCATCGTTGAAAATAGAACTGCTCCTGAATTATGCTTTTTCCATGAAAAAAAGTTTAAGAGTAAATATGTTCCAAGTACTATGCCAGGATATAAAGTTGCAGTCTATAAATTGCATGAAAAATGTTAATACTCATAATGAAATGAATTGAATAAATTGAATACAAAAAAGAAATTACCAGAAAAGCTGCTATTTTCCACCTTTCTCCTTGCATTGTCTTATATAATCTACCTGAAAAGTATCCAGCTACTACTCCAGATAAACTATAACAATAAATTGCGCAAGTTCCTATAGCTCCTCTACTAGCTGATTGAAATATTCCAAGCATGAAAAAAACTAAGATTTATTAAATTATAATTTATTTCATATTAGAATATTTATAAATGCAGTAAATAAGTCAACTAACAGACAAGAATAAATATTGTAACAAATATTTGAATACCACTACCAATACAAGCAGCAAAAAGCAGAGATTTAGTGGGAGGTCTGAATACATCTGCATAAACAAAGTTCCATCCGGTTATTTCTAAAGCTTCTTCTAATTTTGAAATACTATTATAATTATTGCACCTTTCTATGTCTTTTCTTATTTGAATGTACAACAAAAAAGTTACCATTCCTAGAAAGTAATATTATATTTCATTCTTTTTTATTAAAATGATATATTGTATAATTTTCAAGGCATTAACTTACCAGAAAATGAAATCGAAATAAACGTTAACCGGTTTATAATAAGCCAACGCGATTCTATATGATTCTTCGTAACATAAATATTCTATCTATTGGCCCAACTAATACGAGGTTCTTCCTGCCATTCAACAGAATAGAAAAATAGAATTTTAGTACCGTTTGGGTTGACATATTGTGGACTAGCTTGTGGTGGAATGTTACAAGTACTGCCATTATAGCCTACTTGGTTATAATCTACTGATAAAGCTTCTACTATGGAGCCAACTACTCTAAATTTATTCCTAGAAAACAATAATGCAGTAATGTGATAATAATAAAAGTTGAAAATTTGATGATTTTCTATTTGAAAAATTTGCCAAACTTACTCTCCATATTTGTGGTAACTTAATTTTAGTTTTAAATAATTGTTTATATACACTCTATTTTTCTCATCGATACCACCTAGATAATAACCAGGTTGTATATAGATATTACTATTTGCATTAGTTAGACTTGCTGCTGTGAAATCATCAATCAATCTGTAACACGAGAAAAATATATTATATTGGGTAGATTTTTTTTAACTTTACACAAAAACTTTAGATATCTTACAAATAAACAACGGAATTTTGTTGAATTCGTTCATAGACAAGTGAAGAATTACTTTCTTTCCAAGTCATGGGTTCTGTTGGCTTATCACAAAGGAGTTTGCAAGATATATTTTGTGCCATTGCAACTTCATAAGGTGTGTTAACAATTCTGAAATATTTCAATAAGCATGAAAATTATTGTAAATAATGTTTGTACTAAAAGATACAAAATTTTAAAACTCACATGTCACCTCTTAACATTTCCCCTAAATTTTTAGATTTATAAGATAAGGTACCATTTTTGGGCAAACAAAAAGGCAACGAATAATATTCGTAAGATAGTTGTGTATGTAAACTAAACATTTTGGAAACTTCCACATCAATTTTCTGGCCTTTTCTGAAGTCCGTAGGGTCTCCTACGGCATAGCATAAGTTAACCCAGATGAGGAGGAATACCAGAACTGCAGCAGTAAACTTCGATTTTATTCTATTCTGCAAAAATAAATGATTTGATACAGTATATTTTTGCTAATTTTGAGTAAACACCGCTAAAAATGATAAATAAAAATTCATAACCCAAGTGCATACACTAACAGAACATATGTCTTACCATTTTGTCATAAAACTTGTACGCTGACAATTTGTTCTCTTTTCATCGAAACTTTTTATTTTCTTTTGAGTAAAATGAGTATCATAATGAGCTACCCCCGCGTAGAATAGATGAATAGATATAACAGCGATCAAAGTTGCATTTTAGGCTTTTTATTTTTACTTTTTATGATTTTGTGGCTATGCCCTCGTGATGTATATGTTATTCTAACTAAATTTTTCTTTTTAAATAAATTTTTTTTTAAATTATTTTTTTATAATTTTTTTTTTTATACTTTGCCGGCTAGGTGCTACCGCACCTCTTGATGCATGCAGCTTTACCTCTGTCTGAAATGAAATTTGTCGACTACAGTCTACAACAAGCGTCGTGCGCAGCGTTGGTCCGTCCGAGGCAAACTCTACGCTCGCACTCTACGGCGAAAAGTACCGGTGGCGCCTGACGTCAGAGTTCCGAAACTCACGTCTGGCGAGCTTTCTTTACAATGCACGAAAATAATTTAAAAATTTCTTGATATGATTATGTTGTAAGATGGACCCTTTTATGTTAAAAATGTTTAATTATGCATAATCACATCAAGAAATTTTTAAATTATTTTCGTGCATTGTAAAGAAGGCTCGCCAGACGTGAGTTTCAGAACTCGGACGTGAGGCGCCACCAGTACTTTACGCCGTAGAGACCAGCAGACTGCGCAGACTGCGTGTGGAGCCGTAGGCCGTAGCCCGTAGAGACGGATATTCGCGTTTCGTGCTCGAATTAAAGAGCGAGCGAAGAGTCTAGCGCTAAAAGAACGAGACGGCGCTAGACTAGCGAGAACTGCGGGAACTGCGCAAACTTGGCCGAGCGACAGTCATGCTGAGTACCGACTAGCGACTCCGGGGACAGTTGTTGGACCGTCTGAACTGTTGGAGGCCGTACTACCTATATACGACTCGCCCAAGCTAGTTACTACCATCTCGGCCCTGCGCAATTACTGCTGCGAGTCGCGACATCCAAGTGACGATTCTGCCGTTTTACCTGCTCGCTCCAACAGAGAGGACTACCCTCTTAGGCCTCTCAGCAGTCTTTGCCCGTAGCCGATTCACGCACGTCAACACGTACGCACGCGATATTGATATACCAACCAATATACCACTCGCATAACGCATTATCATTTATATATAACTGCTACATATATACACACGCACTCGACACATACACACCACACACGCACACGCACACGCACACACACAAGCACACACTCATACCGCATACGAGTATATATACACACACACACACACACATATATATATATTTATATACACATAGAAACCTACACTACAGGCAAGAGTGAGCCAGCCGAGCGACGAGCAGCAGTAGTAGTAGCAGCAGCAGCAGCAGCAGCAGCAGCAGTTGGCACAGGCAGTAAAACAGAGTCGCCCCCACCTACGCACGCAGTTATATATTTGCACACTACGATACTCGACAGTCGCTGATCAACTCAGAGAGAGATCCTCAAATGGCGCTCAAGCGGATCAACAAGGTACGTGCAACATCATCGTCATCGTCGACGATCGAGCTACATCGTCGTGGCCATGGCCATCGCCGCGGCCTCTCGGGCCATGTACGCGTCGCCGTTCCGACGCGAATCTTCCACGACTCGTGCCGAGGCTAGCGATTGCCATTTGCTCGTTGCCGTGTTGCCGTGCGAGTCGAGGCCGCGGCTCAGCCCTCTGCTTAGTTAGGCTAGGCTAGAAACGCGCCCGCCGCAATCCGCGGGGATTTTCTTCATTTCGTTGGGTCCTTCTTTCCTTCGACTCGCTCCACCGAGTCCATCTTGGCATCGTTGCTCATTTATTAATAAATATCATTATGTACGTTCTGGATATATATATATATATATGTGCACATTCTCTAATATAAATGGCTCGGTCCCCCTCTGTGCACCACGTCCTATCGTCGTCTTCGACTTCGTGTTCGTACGTGCATAACCGCCTGCGGCCTTTTGGCCAAAAATTAATATCCGATTATGCCTGCGCTCGCCGTTCGACTTCCCAGGCAGGATGTCTCCGTGCTAACCTAGCGCGAGTGCAATCCTCTCCCGTACGTTGCTCGCGGATCGTACAGTCAGCAAGCCCAGCTCTGTCTATCTACATGCACACTCACACATACACGGGTTCGTTCGCACGTAACGTACACTCGTCTTCGTGTGCGTGCGTATGTGCTCATATATAGGCATATACTCGTGCATATGTCTTTTTCTCTTACTCGTTTCATGTACAAGTATGTGTGTGTGCGTGTGAGTTTGCAACGACAACCGCATAACCGTTGACTCCTGGTGCTTGCTACTGTCGCCGCGTATACCTCTTGTCTCTTGTCTCCATCTTTCTCTCTCTCTCTCTCTCTCTCTCTTTCTTTTTTTCTACTCGTTCTCACGTGCTTTCCCGCGCCTCGCATGCCTCATCGAAAGCAATACAGACTCGAGCTTTTTTGTCCTCAATTTTCGCTAAACCTCGTCTAGCACGACGCTTGTACGTAGCTCGTCTGCCATCCATGCCGGAAGTTTCGAACAAAATCTTCGTCGAAGCCAACTGTGTAAAGGCTTGGGCGCGCTCATACTTGCTCGACCGTGCACACTTACATGTATATATATAGAAATGCGCAACTCTACATTTCTTGCTCATCGTCACCGTCGTTCTACCTCTTTTCCAAAGTGCTTAAAGAGACTACGTATTTCTCATCTTGTAACGGTATTCCAGTTTCAATTGAAATGAATTTCTGGATCATATCAAAACATTCAACTTTTTTGTTGATAAATGTCAAAAATATCAAAAGCTTCCATGACCCTTAAAATTTAAAACTACTGCGTTACTTTTAACCACACTTGCATCACTTTTAATGATATATCTATTAACATATCACAATTTATATTGCCTTACTTATCTTTAAATTGTCTAATCAATTGAATTATACTTTTTATAATTTTGTTTTTGTTCCAATAATAGTAGAAAGTAGAATATTTGTAAACTTACAATTTAAAAGTTACATTTTACATCATTCTGTTGTACTTGTTGACAATCAAATTTGAATTTGAATTAAAATTATTTTTTTTTTGCTGCAGGAACTCCAGGATCTGGGAAGAGACCCACCTGCACAATGTTCAGCTGGTCCAGTGGGGGATGATTGTAAGTTATATTATCGATTTTATATATTGCATATCTTTTATTTAATCCATTCATTAGTACATATTATTCTATATTTTAATAATGTAAAGGTAAAAACCATCATTTATACATTCATTTTGTGAAGCATCTATTGAAAATTCATCCAAACAATTCTATGGGGATTCTTATATTTATGCTCGCCAAGACACCATACAATCTTTATGAAAAATGTGTTGTAGATGTTTCAAAATACAAATTTGAAAGTTGTGGTTTTTACTATGGCTTCAACAAATGACTAAATGTAAAAACTTCTCTTTCACAATGATGTTCATGAGAGTAATAGAAGCATTGTGAATAAGGAAAGACTCTTTGTTCATTATTTTTAATTTGACTATTTTTTTTTCTTTTTTTTTCATATTTGATAAATATATATTGACGTACTCTGAAATGCAATGTGAAATCAAATTTGATCATAGTCAAACTTTATGATCCTATTTATCCACAACCATTGACAGCTATTATTTGTGACCATTGACAGCCAAAATGTTACCAAAATATTTTATTTTACTTTTTATAAATGAATTCATGAGGCTTTATTTGTATTTTCAGTATTCCATTGGCAAGCTACCATAATGGGTCCTGTAAGTATTAAGGGTTAGTAACTCAAGACTCAAATATATTCAAATCAAGTGGTATGATTGAAACAATAGAGTAGAAAATCAAGAACTAAGAAATTTCTAAAGGGTATTATTTGTGCTCGTGTAAAAACAATTAATAATTAATTTTTCTTTGATTTTGTAAAGCAAATATCAATCTATGTCTTTATGTTCAACTTGTATGTTACTGTATAGCTTACTATTTTAAACTGAAAAATATTCAAATACTTGATTGAACATATATTGATTCTAATCTGAATAATTGATTATTTTATTTTATTTCATACTCTTTTTTCATTTTATAGCCTGACAGCCCCTACCAAGGAGGAGTTTTTTTCCTTACAATTCACTTTCCTACAGACTACCCATTCAAACCTCCAAAGGTAAGATATTGATTTTATGTGCCAAAGTTCATCATTTTCCTTAAAGAGATCCCTACCACAGCCAATTCTATTTTCAAAAAAAACTTCTAATAAATCTCTCAAAAAGTTTCTATAAGAACCTTCATTTTGATGTTATTAAGTTTCCCATAGAGCCTTTTCAAAAAGATTCAGTAGAAGTTTTGAAAAACTTGTTTGAAAATTGAGGTATATACTGTATGCCAGGACTGAGGTATGGATCACTTTATAAAGTATACAAAACAATTTAATAAGTATGTCTTAAACAAAGTCAGTCTCTAAATACTTATTCTAGATACTTATTCCATTTAATTGATAAAAATACTAGATAAACAAAATTTTCATTGTTTGTAATTTATCATTATTTTCATCTATTCAGGTGGCTTTCACAACTAGAATTTACCATCCTAATATCAATAGTAATGGTAGCATTTGTTTGGATATTTTAAGATCGCAGTGGTCTCCTGCACTCACCATTTCGAAAGGTTTGTATAATAATCAATAATATATATAAACATAAAAATAAACATGGTATTAGAAGATGAAAATTTTAATTGTAGGACTTGAAATTATTTTTATTTTTGATAAGTTTATCTTTAACAATTATAATTTAATTAGAAATGTATATGATTTAAAAAGTTTTCATGATGAGAATTTTATTGAAATGAATGAAAAATTAACTTGATGTTATGTTTCAGTGCTCTTGTCCATATGCTCTTTGCTGTGTGATCCAAATCCAGATGATCCTTTGGTGCCAGAGATAGCCAGGATATATAAAACTGACAGAGAAAAATATAATGAACTGGCTCGTGAATGGACGCGCAAGTATGCTATGTGATCCTCTTACATCTGTTAACCTCAACATCTGTATGCCACCATCAAACAGTCCCCGCCTAAATGCCATGTATCATCAGTACTGATTCAACCTATGGCTCGTTTGTCTTCTTATAAATGAATGTAAACGTCGTTCAAATTAGACTTGCGAGCTTATCGCAGGGTATCACAGGCCAGCTGTGATGGTTTCAATAAGAAAATTTCCTCCTCCCTGGATACCCTGCGCTATTTATCATGTCAGTGCCACTATTGGCAATAAGAAGGCGATTTACGAAGGATTTAAGTAAAAAAGGTGGTTTCGAACTTTGAATTTTTAATTATCAATCATGAATTTTAAAAAACATTAAGGATCAAAGAAATACCTGCGTAAAAGACAGGATTGAGAAATTTTAAATACAGCATATTGTTCGCTTTAATTTCACAGTAATAAACGAGACCTATGGGAAAAAATTACAATATGTCGAGTGAAAGTAGGATTTTTATTTGAATTAAATAGTCTAATTATTATGATCGTACTTATAACGCTGTAATATCTTGGTATATATTTATATATGCCCACCATTTTCAAAATGAAAATGAATACAGAAAAACGTTGTATGTAAGCGTGTAAGAATATATAAAATGTGGACAAATATTGTGCAAATTAGAAACAAAATACCCGTGCACTGACTATTAGTCTTAAACGTTCTAAGCGATCTACGCCCGTCCTTCGATACAATACGGTCATTTTTTTGTAAGACTGGGCTCTATATATAAATATTTCTGAAAAAAGATAACGATCATGTTTTTTCTTTTTACTTCACATTCACTACTTATTACTTAATAATGTCTTATTTATTGTTTGTCTAATTCAACTGCCTGATGAATAAATATTTTTAAATCAAATTCTACGAGTAACTCGTTTAAAATGTTCAATGATTTTTATTATAATTAGTAATGTATGTGTACATGTGCATGATAGGGCGAGGAATGGTTAAAACACTGACAACGCAAAATTTATTCGTTTAGTTGTATAATACTTCAATGATATCGTTTAATACCTTTAGCACGAAAAGGGTATGAGAAGTTATTATGAACAAATTCGTATTACTGATGATATATTACTCTACTTGTGACTTCAAGTGAGAAAAAAGCCTAAATGATCAAATTTCTAATCTAAATCGCTCAAAAAGGTAAACATATTTATTGCTGGTTTCTATTTTTGTGAAGTAATAATAACAAAAAAGGAAACAATCAGTACTATGACTTGCCCTTAGGAGTTGAATCTGAGCATTTTAGAGTGATTTCTTTAAATAATAAAACTATATAGATAGATACTGCGTAGGTTCTGTAAATCAGTTGTTCATGGCTTCGAAATACCTTTGTGAAAAATATGAAGGAGAGACAGTACGTGCGAAAGAGCGATAGAGTACAATTTTGTCACGAGCACTAGACGAGTTCATGCTCGTCCAAAAAATACAATATCGCGTTTATACTTGTAATTACGATGAAATCCTTCGGAATAAATATTGAAATAAAAAAATTTCAAAAAATACTACATGTCTTGTCACCATCGTAACATGTAATGTTGATATCGCATGATTTAACATACTATTGTACAGTTATCGAATATTTTTTGTACCTAATGCAATATTTTCTCAATCTACGCTTACATGATTTTGGAGATCCACGCATTTGTTCAATAGTCTGCATGATAGGTATTAATTTTCAAGTCTATTGCACGTTTTCAAGTAATATTGATAATTTTCGATTTGTTTTTTGTCTTCACAAAACATCGCGATTTTTTTTTAGAAAAAAAAACGGAAAAAAAATTTACGAACGTGTGAATAACTGTATTCTCATCCAATGTAAAGATTACCACTGACTTCTATTTCTTCGTGTTTAAAATTAATTATTGTTGGTTTATGCGTGGATACGGATTTGTGAGGTACTCAGAGCGACTCATCCTGTCAATGTTTCATTTGTATAATTGATAATGATCAAAATCAAGATCATTGAATATTTTTTTTTTAAGTTTCATCGTTTTAATTCCGTTTATCGCAGTGTGTTATTTTCAAAAAAAAAAAAAATAATAATAAAATAAATAATATTATTTTTTAAAAATTGAGTTGATCCGAAAACAAATAATCTTTTATTTAAATCAAAAATAAACTTACTAAAATAGATGGAACAATGTAAACGTGTGAATTATAAAAAAAATTAAGACAAATAAATTTTGCCGCACCTGTGATACTGTACGTACTTTACATCAATTACAATAATTACTTATACTTAAACTTACCATTCAAGAATTTCCGAAATCGTACGAAGTATGGATAAAAAAAAATATTACATCTACAATGGATACTATCGCGAACATGTACATAGATAACAAAAATTAATCTGAATACAAGTAACTGGCCCTGTCTATATAAAAGACACAAAAATCTAATTTTAACATCAGCTTAGATTCTTATTGAGATTTCGGTTATGACCTACTCAGCGTTAGCGATAGTTTGAATAGCGATCAATGTCATTGCGAAGGTATTTCATGAAAATTCCAAATTTTAACGTTTTTATGCTAGTTGAATAATTATACGTTTGAATAATTCGCTTATTGCATTTTCTAGGAAATAAAGAAACCAAGGGGGAAAATGTCAAACACGTTTTCTGACATGTTCACTTGATTTATCTTGAAAAGCTTAGAAATGTCTAACGTAGATGTTTAAAAAATAACAAAATGGTGACACTCAGGTAACTTTTAAAAGTAAAATATACTCGTTATGATACTAAACTTTTATCAAAGACTGTAACTATCAAACTTACCGGAAAAATTACATAATCCTTTTCTCGATTAATAAACAAGACACTAAAGTTTAAACAATCATAATATACACAATTGCTTTTTACATATTCAACTATAAAATTTTATTAATCTGAGGTACTTTTTGGGGCTTGCTAAATTTTGTTCAATTGAGTATAATTTCAACGAAACTATTTACACTAAAAATATTATTTAGTTTGGTTTTTCGCATAAAATTCTAGTTCACAGTAGCTACTTTCCGCAGTCTGCAAAGTAAAAAAAATGTTTATTTTGTTCTAGGGTTTCATAAAAAAAAGCATTACATCACAAGTATTTCATAATTTTACTAGTAATAATTAAATATATATAATTGAAAAAAAACATTGTTCCGATTTACTTTAAAATGGAATTTAGAGTTAAAATAGAGTTTAAATAGAGTTTAAACTTTCAGCTGTGGTTATTATTTTCAATTGATATTTGCTTAAACAATTTATACTTTTTTGTTAAAAAACGGTACGGTTTTTGAAGTTATTCTTATCGCCTAATGATAAATAATAAAAAAAAATGTTTCGAATACATTGGGAAGTACAATCGAAAAATACAAGTTATTGCTAAAAGTGTTTTGCAAATTTTCTAGGGCAGCCAAATTTATCAGTCTATCATTGTTACTTGCATCTTTTTCAAAAAACTTATAAATTTCAAATGTTTTTTCAGATACAGAACCCAATAGAATATGACCGTAGTTTATCAAAAGTGATCTAACTGATTGAGGGTTGGATGGTTTTTAAGCTTTAGCTGCTTTATTGGTTTTAGCATATGTATTCTAGTTGGTGTTACACACCCACATCAATTAATAACCGTTTAAATACTATGTTACATAGAGAGGAAACACTGCTGCAGAGTCAATGAGCTCTTTGGTTGATTGTTTTAAAATGTTTTTATCATAAAAAACCTTTACAATGAATGGTTATAAATACATACATGTTATCATTTTTATCATAACGTTGGATAAATCGTTCAATGGAAAAAAATTCGCGTAGGTATACATTTCCTGGTAGAAAATAACAATCTCTCATTTCTTCAGAAACATTCCCGAAGCGACTAAACAATATTTGCAAGAAAAATAAAAAAAGAAATATGTATAAATGATTGATTAGATACTAGGAGAGACGGATTAGAGTGAGGTAGTAAATCTCACGGCGAAACTCGATAATTGACTTTTCATAAGTAGGTATATTTTATAAGGTAGTAGGTACGTTTCCACATTGACCTTTTATAAATCAGCTTTCTTCGAAAGTTTATAGTTTTAACTTAAAAAATTACGTGTAATGATTGATCCCTTGAAAATCGTAACGAGTAAATGATAAAACTCAAAAACTTGTAAATTTCTTTCAATGTTTTTGTTCTGAGCTGTTATACTCTTTTCCATGACAATCTTTAAAAAGTAGATTTTGACTCGTGGATTACTTTCGTCATTAAATTATCGTATTAAGTTAAATTTTTATCCAGTAGAGGTCGTCGTATTCTACTGGACAAGAAGCTATACAATGAAAGTATGAATCTCTCAATGTATGTTAATTATATCGAACCATCGGTACCCTGATAATTATTGAATATTGTACGATGATTGTCTCAACAATTTTTAAAGAATTTTTTGACGAACGAAGTAAAAACTGTTCTTCGAAAGTTAGTCAATAGAAAAAAGTGAGAGTTGAAGTGGTTGACGAGCCGCGGTTAAAAATATGATTGTTGATTTCATGCGAATGCATTTGACTGTGCATGCGAAACAATATTTGATTATTTAACCAAAATTCGGTAGGCCAATCGCACAAAATACTGCTATTATATGATACGGAAAGTTAGTACCATTGGTATTTATATGTTATCAGCAGCATCAAAATAAATATTCAAGTTTGAAGCGTATTCATATGTGAAAAAGAATGAATCGTAGAGAAGAAATGCGTTTTAGGTTGCGCCTATCATACGGGTTTAACTTATTTTTCCCTGTAGGTTGACCGTGAACGAAAGTTGGCCAAGTCGAAAGATCTTTAAAAATCAGTCTGTTCGTCTCGGAGAAGTCAGTTTGTACGCAGGCCAAAGTAGTAAACATACAACGAATGTAAAAATGAGGAATATTTTCGGATTGATGAAGATTCGGCTGCATCCTCGCAGAGATTTCCTTCAGAAATCGTGCACCTTTGGCCGGTAAGTCAAGAGAAGCAGATCTATACTGATCGAGGACTAGGCGCTGTTGCTCGCCTTGAGAGATTTGCTCGGAGGAAAAGAGAGAAAGCGCCTATCTCGCACCAACTCGGGGCTGGATTTCGATCACGCTCGGCCGCGCAGTGCTTGATACTCGCGATATTCGAGGCGATGCGCCGTTCGAGCGCAGACAGAGCGAGTGCTCGGGACCGGCCCATGAAAAAATGGAATTTCGGCGGAAAAATGCTCGCTAATTTTCTGAAAGCATCCTGGTAAATGTCACTTTCCAGGCTCCTGACAGTATTGCAGTCACAGGCGGATTCGTCGTCATCTCTCGCAGTCGGGCAGAGCGACAAGTGGCCAGTCGTAGGCTCGGCATCGGCTGCACTATCACCGTCCGTTCGCCACTCGACTGCAGCGGCGAGCGGCCAGTCGAGCCACGCACACACACACACAAACACCGTCACACAGACATACGTATAGGCCGCATGCGAATCTCGTGCAAAATACTCGTATACGGACGAGCCGAGAGAGTCTTATCCCACCGCGCATCGCGACTCTCGTGCGCGCTGCGTTGCGCTCGCGGCGGCGTTGCGCTCTCGTTCAGTGCCAGCGATCGGTTCAGCAGCATCGGTCGCCTCCTCGGCAGCTGCAGCTTTTTCTTTTTCTTTTTTCCCCCTTTCTCCGCCAACGTCGCTCGTCCTTTTTCTTTTTTCGACGCCAGACGACCGAAACTTGCCTAGCTTCCTTGTAAACTTGTATTGAGTGCACGTCCAGCGCGACGAGTGCCAAGACATCATGTCTCGCCGACGACGCTAGGCCGATTTATTTCGGCGGCGACTCATCTTCTGCTTCGCTGGACGCTCGACCAACTTGGCTTGCCTTTGGATTCTTGACAATTACTCACAAATCTGTCGATCGCATTCTCAGCCTAACTAGAGGATCGACGCACATGTAAGTTACAATTTTTACAAATTATTCCTTTGTCCTTCCCGGCTTTACACCTTCCGCCTAACATTTTCTTCCTTCGATATTGGCATTTTTTTTTCACGACAATAATGACACTTTACACGGCTCGAGTCGCGAAAGTACTATTATGTGCGCACCATGCATCGTAAAGGTGTACTTTTTTGTATGATTGCTCTCAAGCACGTTTACAAGTCAGACCCGTGATACTTGTAGCTATGATATTTAATTGTACGTTACGTAAAAATAGTTTTCTTTGCCCTGTCTCGATTCGAATCCCGCTTATTTGAGTGTTTTGTGTACACGCTTACGTAAAACCACATGAAGCTCAAAAGTAATTTACGTATACAACTTTACCGCAATTTTCGTTTGGCACTTCTGCCTGTCCTTTTTTATCATAATAAATGCTTTCCTTATCATAGCGAGAGTCGCTTAATTTTCTTGAAAAATAAAAATTATTCCACATAGACAAAGTTAATACTCGGATATTGTTGTCGGTATAAAGATAACTTTAGAACAGTATACGAGCATTTCCGTACTGTTATTGAATATAATTAAACAAAATAATATAATTATTCTATTGAATTATTAGACACGAAGGCTAAACTTTTATACGATAAATTTGGTAAAAGTAATAAAAAAAGAGACAATTTAAAAAATAAGTTAAATATGGAAGATTGTTTTAAGACTTTGAATTTTTAGTTATTGCATTGCAGATCTGTCTCGATCACGAACGGCTCTGTGTATTTTTTTGTTCTACTCAATGTGGACCGCAGAAAAACTGAATAGTCGCATGACCACGTATATGCATTAATTCGATTGCGTTCGAAGACTTACATTGACGTTTTTGACGACCCTGACTTTAACGATGACCTTTTTTTGTCGAAGCCGTGCGAATGGTGTATTTTAGCAAAGTTGAGTTAGAAATAAGTTGCAAGCGCGATAAGGTATCATTATCGTCCTCGAATACTTTCAGTCTCCCTATACTTACTGTTCGTTACGAGAATTTCATTGATGACTTTTTTGCACTGGCATGAAAAATCGATACCAACTACGATATGAATTTCCCCGTGAGAGCGATTAGCCTTCAGCTAGAATACTTGACATACGAGTTCGTTTGAACTGATTTTCTAGCCTATTTTTAAAATCGAGTAATGTGCATACTTTTTCATTTTCGCAATAGGCCAGTGTAAATAAATAAATTAAAGGAGGAAATAAATTAAATTCCAATTAGTATTTATGCTATAGTTATAGTTCAAAATCATTAAGACGATCTGAGGGTGTACAATTATGAATACGATGGAAGTACGGCATGTCAAATAAATTAAAATTACGGGGCTAATGTGCCAGTTATTTTTAGCACAATATATAATCATCGGAAAAATGACACTTTAAAAGTCGATGCAATATCAGCTTACCGGAGTTGTCATGATTATGCAAGAAAAAATGTCAATAAAAATTTGAGTCAAGCACCTGTGACTCGTTAATTAAGTGATCCATAAGCATGAATGAGTAATTTGACAAAAGCATCCAATCCGACTGTTGAGCTCGAGGAAAATCAACGGCACTTCGGACGAAAGGGAATCGAAATTCTACGGTCTATAAGTAGACGTCGCTTGAAAATGTGCTCGCACGCGATGTAGACAGTCAGAGGATAGTCAACAGTGGAGATGTAAGCGCACACGGCGGTGCACGAGGCGACTCGATGATCGACCTGCCTAGAATCTCGGTCAGCTCAGCATTGCGCCGTTTATTGCATGCAGCATATATATGTATACAGATTACAGAGGCAGAGAGAGCAGCGTGTGTAGCGAGCTTCTTAGTTTTTCATGTGGCCGGCCCCAGAGGCCTTCGACGAGGTCACTTTCGACTCGATGCTTCTTCTGGATTGACGCTTTACACGTTTCTTGGCCGACGGTAAAAAATGCAAACAATTATTTGTCAACGTGTTAATACGTGACGAAATTCTCAGATTTTCCCAGTGGCTCTTAAACCAACGAAATTTCATCTGTCGCGTAATTTCTATTTGCTTTTATACTCATTTGTTTGCGTCGAGCAAATGCTCGTCTTATGTACTGCGCTTCAGATAATCAAAAAGTACTATGTAATACAATGAGCTTGGCTTATTTGATAATGAGGAGCGTTGCCGTTAAAGTGCCGAGACAAGCATGTGTTGCAGACTTGTACTCATACAGCGATGCAAATTATATTTATTATTCCAACGAGTCTCGATCATTTTTGGCAGACACGTGTTGATCACACAGTAACATAGGAAGAACTTCAGGAGCCGCTGCATACAATATAAGTATCTACGTATATTTTCGCTTCTGGAGAAGAGAGTTTGAATAAATAGCTTCGACACTCTCTATATACGTGCGGGCATTATAGGCGCGTGGATTAAACGTGTTCCGTTTCGCCTGCTGCTCTTACCTACGCTACATGCACGTATATATATATGGGTCAAAATAATACTTTTTTACAAAACCGTGCGCACGTATGTCACCGATCTTGACGCGCTTTTGGTATGTTATAGTACATGGTAAAAAGGTCCCAAAAAAAAATTTTTAGACCCCCTCCCCCCTCCTACCCCCCACTTCCGGTATAAACGTCCATTTTCGATCTATATTTTTTCTGAGGACATGAAGCAAGTAAAAAATCTGAAAAAATTCATAAAAATACTTTTCCACAATCCAAACAACCTTGAATTTTTTCAGATTTTTTGAGTGCTTCAGGCCTTCAGAAAAAATTATTGAAAATTTCAAAAATCGAGATACGGCGGTATGAGCCGATGTAGTACTCGGAAATTTTTTCAGTTATTTTTCGCATTAAAAAACATAACCTCAATTTTTTTCAGATTTTTTCAGATTACCTAACGCACCTTTTGAAGCCAAAAACCGATTTTTTTGACGAAAATAATTTTTTTAGGACAGTACGGAGCCTCGAAAAATCTGAAAAAAATTTTTTCTTGTTTTTTTCATCAAAATACGTAATCTCAAATTTTTTCAGATTTTTTAATTGAAGGCGATAGCTTCTAGGGCCGAAAAATGCTATTTTTAACAAAAAATGGTTCCTAGAACCCGATGGTTCCGGTGAAAAAATTTGAAAATATTTTTTTTGAATTCCTTGTCAAATTTTAATAAATTTTGACCGTTTCAAAAGTTCGATTGAAGCTTCCTAGCTCATTTTAGAGCATCAAACGAGTTTTATCATTCCTTAATGTCTTCAGAAACGTCTTCAGATATTTTGCACTAATCTTTGTCCTGCTCTAAAATGAGCTAGGAAGCTTCAATCGAACTTTTGAAACGGTCAAAATTTATTAAAATTTGACAAGGAATTCAAAAAAAATATTTTCAAATTTTTTCACCGGAACCATCGGGTTCTAGGAACCATTTTTTGTTAAAAATAGCATTTTTCGGCCCTAGAAGCTATCGCCTTCAATTAAAAAATCTGAAAAAATTTGAGATTACGTATTTTGATGAAAAAAACAAGAAAAAATTTTTTTCAGATTTTTCGAGGCTCCGTACTGTCCTAAAAAAATTATTTTCGTCAAAAAAATCGGTTTTTGGCTTCAAAAGGTGCGTTAGGTAATCTGAAAAAATCTGAAAAAAATTGAGGTTATGTTTTTTAATGCGAAAAATAACTGAAAAAATTTCCGAGTACTACATCGGCTCATACCGCCGTATCTCGATTTTTGAAATTTTCAATGATTTTATCTGAAGGCCTGAAGCACTCAAAAAATCTGAAAAAATTCAAGGTTGTTTGGATTGTGGAAAAGTATTTTTATGAATTTTTTCAGATTTTTTACTTGCTTCATGTCCTCAGAAAAAATATAGATCGAAAATGGACGTTTATACCGGAAGTGGGGGGTAGGAGGGGGGAGGGGGTCTAAAAATTTTTTTTTGGGACCTTTTTACCATGTACTATAACATACCAAAAGCGCGTCAAGATCGGTGACATACGTGCGCACGGTTTTGTAAAAAAGTATTATTTTGACCCATATATATATATATATATATATAAATAAATATGTTTGCCACAGCCAACGCTGCACACACACACACACACACACACACACACACATACACACTCGTATTCACTCACATTTGCGCACTGGACGATGAGAGCTCAGTACCGTTTCTTTGAAACTTTCTCGAGAAGATATTGTGCCGCTGGAAATGGTTAATGCGAGCTCCACTGGCATTTTCCTGGCCCGTGCTGAGCTGCACACTGTAATTTCTCGAGATGTAAGCCTTCGAATATTCACTCAGGTGAGAGTGAACGGAAATATTCGAGCGAGTGGCTTATTTTAGCTGAATCGACCATCGAATAGAGAAAAGCGATACTGAGAGTGAAAAATAATTATTTTCATATTTGCCGAGCATATTTTTTTTAAACTTTTATTTTCCGTCTTTTCTATATGATGCTCAAAAACTACTGCTTGGGAAACCTTGAATCTAGTAACTATGATGAATATTCACAAATAAAAATAATGATTATTTAAGTGAACTGTAAACATTAAAAAAAAAGAAAGCGATAAATCCTTAAAGTAAAATTTCTTCGCTAATAACTATATAATTCACACGTCAATTTATACAACGTTTAAGATTAAAACCAAACTCTAATCGGCCCCTTTGTCTACTTTTTTTCCCTTGCTATGAAAAATTTGGAATTATTCTAGCATAATATTTTATTCAAAAAATGTACTTTGACTCATTGATACTTTTCGAACATTTCTGTGTGTTATTGAGTGGTCTGTTATAGAAATTGAGCAAGAATCAAACTTTTAGTTCTAGAAAATAATATATATACATATATAATTGATTTGTTTCCCGCAAATGAAGACAAACATCAGTAAAGTATTCTAAAACTCCTAACAGTAATTGTAAGAAATTGAACTTATAAACTATTAAATGTTTCAATATGCTCTTGTTCTTTTAAATTGAATCCGATCAATTTGTGCTCATGTGTATAGGTCAGTGAACTTTAGGAAATGACAGGTTAATCGATGCATATATGTACATAAACATTACAAGAATATTCTTGTTTTACGGTTCTGTCATCGCTTCCTGAACGTTAACATTCGTAGTTACATAATGTATACATTAGCATTGAAGCATACACTATACGGTGTACGTCATGCAGTGACAGTGATTTTCTCACCAATGATGAGTAATTCGCTTTTTATAATCTTTTATTTTTTCGTTGCAGCAGTGTTGTCGATCATCTCTAAATAAACGGCTTACAAATGATGAAAATGTTGGCTGGCGTTGAAGAGGTTTCAACGTGTACGATGACTATCCAAGAGGAGGAGATAGTTGATGATCATCAGCATGCACACAATAACAATTCCCCCGATAAGCCGACTTCACAGGACAAAAAAGATGAAGCTGCCTCTCAGCCACTCGTTGATAAGGTAGTATTGTCAGTTCCAAATTAAACGCTACTTATATATCTGTTATATTATTATTACACTATTGCATCAGTAATTTTCGCACAGACTTTACATATAAATGCAGAATTCATTGTTGTTTTTATCAACGATCATTATTTATTTATAATTCCAGAGAGTAAGCAATGTTAAAGAATTATAAAAGATTATTATTAAAGATTAGTATTTTAGTCATTACAATTGAATCTTCATTCAAATTAAATTTATTCATCAATATTATGAAAACTTGTGCTTATAATATTACTCTTTAAATTTTTACTAGAATCGAGTCATTTTTCTGTTCAATTTCAAATGAAAGTTACAAGTCACATCGTAGCATGCAAGAAAAGGAGTTGTTACCTACGTCGATCCTGGTACATGGAGAAAGTAAAAAAATTTCATACGTATTTCGACGTATTCAGCTTATGTTCTAGTACAATTTGTGTTTTTGAATTTAACTTATTAGGAATTCATTATTGTTATTTTTTTTATTATGACATGTGATAAGCGGAGTCTTAAAATGTATTTACTCTGAAAATTATTTTACAAATAGGGTGAATATTTTAAAGATTTTTTGTCGCATTCCACGATTGGGGTCAGAATATTTAGAACGCGCACTGATAAGCTTTCGTTAAACACAAATGCAGAGTTAGAAACTATAAGCTAACGTCCTTTCAAAAGTGATCGAGCTACCTCGAGCAACTAAAATTTATAACTACAAACGAGATTCAAATGCATTTAAACGGCAAAAGAGAGCGCTGTGCGTTTCGATAAAAAGAAAAATTCGATTTCGATGGAAAAAAGAAGATTTGCCCTCTTTTTCAAAATGAATGTGCCACTTTTTAAAGAGAGTGGATGAGCTGTTTATTATATGGAACTTGGCACACACAAGAGTGCGTGCACACGCGCTGCAGATCAGCATTTATTGGAGAGTGGTGTCCCGTTGTGACCCACTTTACAATAAAGAGGCTGCAGTCCGTTAGGCTGTATCACTTTTTACAAATATTTATTTTTTATTTTATTATCATTTTTGCTTAAATCATTGCCAAAGTTTCTATAGCTTTAATTCAGCTCTCTTCAGTTTTTTCTGTGATTTTCATCTCAAGCTAAAACACAGCTGGCGTTTTTACTTGATATAATAATTTATCAAAAAAACGCGCGTACTCAATGGCGAAATTTTCATATCAGTGAATCATGCTCGTGGGATTTGATTATGTTTAATACTTTTCTTCTGTTAATAATTGCGATCTCCTGGAAATGATTTATACAAGTCTAGCGATTATTTTTTCCGAATAGTCATATCGTCTGACTTGTCTGGTAAACTGAACACTGATAATAAATTTCTCGTAAAACTACTTATAAATCGTATCTGCGTTATATACTCTTTTTATGAATAATAATTTTTTTTAGAAAACCAACTGCAAAATGAGAAAATTGATTAGTTTTCAAATTTTGCATAAAACATATTGAAATTCTATACTGTCTTGTATGTTTCGATCACAAAAGTATTCAAATGTGGCAACAAGATCAGAATTGCTATGAGTTACAATCTCACATTCAAAGTAGGTATGTTTGGCGGAAAACATGATCATTGATGTCTCCTAATTTTTATTTATCAACTCGAAACGACGATCGATCAGCTGATTATTCAAACTTTTTTTTCATGACTCGAAAACTGCAATAAAAAATCACCTTCGATCATTGGGGCTTACTCTCGTGATTGTATATCGACCATAATAAATATAATTGATTATTTTCATTGCATTTCAGCTCTGTGAGTCTTCAAAGGTTTATGCAGATTCCCCAATTAAAGGCCCAGTCACACCCGAGGATGAAGAAAAAATGCGAAAACTATTACCGTGGCATCTGGCTCCAGAATATTTAAGGCACAATCCTTACATACTCAGTGGTTATCGAGGTTATTTAACCACTAAATTATGCATTGAAAGGTAAACAATTCGATTGCATTATAAGATTTATATTTCTGGAAGCATACGATTTTAAAATTTTTTACAGTATTTTCTGGTGGACAAACGAAACAATCAATATTTGGAGTCACATATTTGGCTTTGCATTGTTCTGTTGTCTTACATTTTACGATCTATATTTAGTCAATATTAGTGCACCCTTCGGCGATAAAGTTTTATGTGCCTTGCTGCTTGTTTGTTTTCAAGTAAATTACATTCAATTATTATCATCTAATTTCTGAAATCATCATTTGTTCTGTAATTGTTAATCTTTCTTTTATTTAGGCGTGCATGATACTTTCTTCGATATATCATACATTTTCCTGCCGAAGTGAGAAGGATTACTGGTACTTTCTTTCTTACGATCTTCTCGGAGTGGCTCTTAGTTTATTAGCAATATACATGTCAGGAGTTTATTACGCCTTTTGGTGTCACAAGGTAAATCAATTCATCTATTTTCCTTTTTTTGTCTATTATGATTTTTTTCTTCATTACCAGCATTTGTTTTTGCAAATATTTAACCGTCTCATTCTTACTTTTTAATAGACGCTGCAGCGATTCTACCTGATTACTATATTGGCGATATTTATCGTGGCGATGATGTTACAAATGAAACGATATCAAATCAACGAAAACATCAAATTAGCTGTATTCGTTGGTTGGGCAGTTTATGGAGTAGTGCCAACTCTCCATTGGACTGTGGCCATGGGTGGAATGCAAAATCCAATCGTCAGTTTGCTTCTGCCTCGTGTCCTCGGCATGTATTGCATCAGTGGTGCAGCTTTTCTCATTTACTTCAGTAAGATGCCTGAAAGACTGTTTCCAGGTAAGTTTTTCACGCTTTGTGTGTTTGAGCCCCTGTTGATTAAAAAAAAAAAAAAAAAAGAAGAAACGCTGATATTTCGTTATCTCGAAGGATGGGTCGACTACATTGGTTCATCGCATCAGTGGTGGCACGTATTGGTCGTTGCAGCTCTTTATTATTGGCATAACACCGGCATGATGTACGTCGAGTACCGTCTCAACAACGGCTGTCCTGGCTTGAGTCAATTATGACATGAGGCCGATGACGATCCATCGTGTAAGTGACCTTGTTAATTTCGAAATTTCTGCGTATACACATATAAAAGCTTGAATTCACTTTTGCCATCATTGAATTGCAAGTTGGCTTTTACGTAATCGAATGCGAAAGTATAAATATTATTCAAGACCGTATTCACCTCGTGTACGTGGAAACCGGCCAAATAATAATTCGAGTAATAACATTTGACTACACAGTTTGAATGATGTGTAGTACACGTACACGTGAGTTTGCGGACACATAGTAAAGCGTGAACGATAACTTGGATTTTACGATGACATTTTACAGCTCCAGCAGTCTTCTCAATGGAGTGCGCCTGCGAACTGGAGTCCCGGTGGACGTCATCGTGGTATCAAGAGCAGCCGGTGATACCTTACTACGCTCATCAAGGCGTGCTCACCTGCCTCATGGAAAATCCATTACGTGTTTATGCTCAATTACGTAGACGTAAAGTGTTTACTTTTTAGCAAATCTTATTGTTTTTCGAGTAAATGTTAACGCGCGTGATAAGTGAAGAGGAATATTCAACTAAAAATTTTTCCGAACTTTGGACGCTTTGTTATGCTATCGTGAAATCGTTAAGATTTCAATGCGACGGTTCGCTACTGTTTAGAAGGAAAAGTGTTGTTTTGTATGTATTTTATTGTTATCTATGTCGTTAACAACGTTTTTTTTTATTGATTTATCATAAAAATATTGTTCGTTTAAACGGCTTATTGAGCTGAAAATTAAATCGATTAAAAATTAGCATCTGCTATTCATGCGACAAGCAGAGATGATTTTTGACAAATTCTCTCTCAAGATATTAAAATGTGATTCAATACAAAATATCATGAAAATATGTTACTAGATTTAATATTTTTTATATATTATGAGTGCAAAAAATTGTATTTTTGATTGATCATATAAAAGATCGATGTAAATATTTTTATACCATAAAATCATAATTCCAAATATAGAAATAGAATTAGTATTTCATCAAAGGTATATTATTATAGTTACTCATGTTTCAACAATAGAATAGATCGATTCAAAATCCTTTTCTGAAATTGATTCAAACTTGCCAACTATGTGAGTTTTGGTGTCGAACCTTTAAAGTGTTGATCCGTACTTGTTCTATATTTATAACAAACATTGGGGCAAAAAAATGAACGTATAAAATTATTTTAGGATATATTCCAATTGTAAAAATAAGATGATCGTAATCATGATTACGATTCACATCTGTTTCTTATTCATCATTAAATAAACGATATTATTCCATTGGTGAAAGTATTGAAATTTTTTTATTAATTATAATTCACACTTCGTTCAGAGCTTACGGGTCACACATTTAAAAGTTTCATTTTTTATTCTACTTGGGACTGAATAGTTATAAGGTTACTACGACTAGTTAAAACAACTAAAACATAATTAATAGTTAATTAGTCAAACATATTTAAAGATGAATTCTTCAAGAAAATAAAAAAGTGAATAGTTGTGATATTTGAAATGTGATTATGACTTTATTGAAAGCATTATTTGTTTTAAAAATTTATAACACAATATCATTATAACCTTCTTCACTCCAACACAAAATTATGCGTTTTGATAACATGAAATTTTGAAACGCATATTACTCTCAGAAACTTACGAACAAAATTGTTACAAATTTGAAATACTTATTGAAAATAATTTATATAATCAAAAATACATGAAATCCCGTTCAAGCAGTTGGGATCTTTTAAACTGTTTCCTGTTTTCAACAGTCGATGAATGATACGAATTTTTTTCTTCAAATGGGCGATTAAAAAAAAAATTATCGAAGGGTAAGATGCCAAAATTGTTATAAAAGCTAAATTAAAATTAAATAAACTTTAGAATTTCAATAAAAAATTTTATTCGTAGTTAATTTAAGAAAAATTGCTATATTTTTTAATTTACGTTTCTTTTGTCATCGGGATTTCATTTAAATTTCTTCCAAACTCATAAACTCATTATTTAATTTTTTTTTGTGAAGTATAGAAAAAATGGGGAAATTTTCATACGTTACAAGTGATGCAAAAATTTGAAAAATATTACCTTTTCTTGTACGGTTATTGCCACCATATTTTAAAAGTCAAATAAAAAATATCAAAAGTAGCCTATACTACATTAAAATGAAGTTGTATTTATAGTCTATAAAAAACTGTGAAATTTCAAAAAAATTTTGAAAGAATAATTTTTATTATTACTACTTATTTTCACATATATCATTTCACATATATTTTTCACATATATATGGGTCAGATTTAGAAATTTTTAAATAAACCTGCGAACGAAATTCACGGATTTTCCTGAAATTTTAGTATGTTATAAGTACATCATAAAAAGGTCCCAAAACCAAAATTTTAGACCCCCTCCCTCCTCCTGCACCCGCTATAAACGTCTATTTTCTAATTATATTTATTTCGAAGCCCTGAAGTAATTGAAAAATCTAAAATATGAAGGTACTTTTCAACAATCCAAACAACCTTGAATTTTTTCAGATTTTTTAATTGAAGGCAATAGCGTCTAAAGCCGAAAAACGCTATTTTTAACAAAAAAAGGTTCCCGGAACCCGATGGTTCCGGTAAAAAAAATTAAAAATATTTTTTTTTGAATTCCTTGTCAAGTTTTAATAAATTTTGACCGTTTCAAATTTTCGATCGAAATCTAAAATCTGAACTTCGTCTAAAATTTTGGTTTTGGGTCCCTTTTATGATGTACTATAACATACCAAAATTTTAGGAAAATTCCTCGATAAACAGTTTTGCGATCACGCTTGCACTTTAAAAATTAAAAACCGCTGCCAATTTATTGACAAAGAGCTTCCTCATAAAAAATTATATTAAAAAAAGGGATCGGTTATTAAAGGGAAAATTCGTATTTAAATTTTGATTCACTGTCTAGGGTCCTAACTACTAAACAATCACGGCCAATACACTTCTATCTTAGCCAAAGGGCCGAGAAAACAAACCCCCATACAGACATTAGTTGGTAATTCAATGATAGGTATAAATCAATCAATAATCCAAACTAGGAGATTACCTCGCTCGCTCACGCTCGCTCGGTGGAGTCAGAGTTTTGTAAGAATTTTTAAGAAAGTAAGAAATATAAAATAAGTTTTCACAAGGTATACACCAGGTATATACAATTTATATACCAGGTATATATATAATGTATATACCTTGTACATACAATGTACATACCTTGTAAATACAAGGTATTTACTATATATATACCTTGTAAATACAAGCTATTTATTATTTATATACATTGTAAATACAAAGTATATATATAAAAAAATTATTTCTTTTTTTTTAGTCATCGATTTTCCAGATTTGTTGGGGAGGCCAGAATTTTAGCGCGAGATTCATTCAACGCGTAATATATTGATAATCCAAATATGTAAACCAAATTGTCCTACGACGTCAGGTTCCAAATCTCGTTTTCAAGCCTATCACAGAACTTCCTCTATGAGGAAGCAAAACTATTGGGTGTGTTTAAAGAGAGAACCTTTTAATCACCTAGCTCAGCAGGAACTTCAGATTACTTTTTTTAATCACTGCAAATTTTAGAAAACGCAAAATCTTTTGATCGTTAAGTCGCTTTATATATAGCATGAGAATATATCAAATTTATTATAAAAGTTAACCAATCGACTGAAAAATTATTTTTAATAACTATATTTTAAAGCTTAAAATTATTCAGGTCATTAATTTGTAAAAGGCTTTGATTCCAGCTGCTAAGCTTTACAATTAAATACAGTTTTTTTGAATTCGTTCTCTAAAAATAATAAATTTAATTTGATAATTTTTTAATTATCAAAAATTGGTGCGAAAAAAGGATTGAAATAAACGAAAAGCAATAAGTTGCCGGGTTTATTGATTTTTGTCTTGTAAAGAAAAAGTTTCACGTACCTAGAAGATTTCCCAGAGGTAAAATAGGTGGAAAAAAAAAGAATAGGCGCTGTCTAACTCAAAAAAATATGGAATCATGCCATAAATCGAATGTGGTATTCTAGCCAATAACAACAAAAACTTTTTAACAGCAATTTTTTCAATTGTTTCTGCACATACTTGGTAATAATTTTATATTTTCTCATTTTTAGGAAGGACGCATTATTTAATAATGTTTTTTGACCTTAGCACAGACTGGAGTAGCGCTTTATACTATTTTATTAGGAATAATTACTCAGTTATCGAAAATGATAAAGATTGTTTGTAAAGTGACTGAATAATATGAAATGGCTGTATACGTATTATAAGAATTATAATATTTATATTTATATTATATTTATAAGTATTATAAACATCAAATTGAATATCTGTCTCTTGTTGACAAAAAAATATAAACAAAAATATAGTTGTTAGCCTATCTGTGTGTCTACCTGTGCCGATCCAGAAGCTCGTACACATTTACAGGAGAAGAAGAAACGGCAGAGCGTCAGTAGGAGCCTCCATTAAATTCATTAGGCCATTAGTGGCTGCAACCCTCCAAGATGGCTTCGGGGTCGCTTGGCAACCAGAAGCAGCCTGCTCGAGAGGGAAGATACCAAAAGCGTCTCGACAGCACTCCCAGTCAAGCAAAGTGTAATTAGATTCAACGAGCGCACGCAAGTTTCAGTGCCACTGCTTTTGCGGCACCTATAGTTTGAAACTAAAGGCTGTGACTGCCGCCGAGAGAAAGAAGAAAATGCTGATGTGCGCCCCCTTTTGCCCTCTTATCTGCATCCGCACTTGCTCGTCTTTGTGTTTTTTTCTTCTTGCTAGCTCGGGATGGTTTTGATTTTACTCTTTTTATGGTGCTAGTATCCAAAACACTACAACTGCATAATTCAAAAAGCGAACTTTTCTGGGCGTCTATTCCTTCTTAACGCGGGATCGAGGTTTTTTCAATCATATCGAAGCGGTTACGCTCGTCAGATATCAGTTGAATTTTCAAAAGAAATCAATTATTCGGAAAAAAACTTGCGCAATATCGAATCATTGAATTTCAATAATGAAATAGCGTATCTACATTTAACGCGATAAAAAGAACCTCTGCCGATTGAAACGCAGCGCTTTGTCTGACGGGTGCGACTTTTTTTCCTCGTAGTAAGAGTAGGTATACGAGAACGAAAGCTGCATTATACATCGCCCAAGTCTTTCGCATACGTAGCTATAGACAAAATATATGTATGTATACAGTAGAGCCTAAATGAAAAATAATGACATTCGCTGAAAGATTTTCAATTCAGTGGCTGCAGCTAGCTCGAGAAGGCTTTGCATTGGAAATAGACAAAATCATTGTATGCTCTTGGCGCTACATGAGCAAGAAAATATAGATATGTTAGCCAAGTTCATTGACGCTTTGCATGCAGAGCCAACCCAGCCAAAAACACTTGTCTTGCCCTGTCCGCACATATATAATGCTCTAAGATGGCTTTTAATCATAGTACAATACAAAAATCTCTCATCGACGCAATTTCTATTTCATTTTTATGTTTGGAAAAAATGTATACATCTCATTATTTTCTATCTATGACTCTTGTAAAAGTTATTTTTACTTTGAATTAAATCTTTGGTCACTTTAGGCTTCATTTTCATTTTTATGATTCACTGATAACAGACGATAATTCATTTTTTATATCACCAAGTTTATATTTACATCGTCGATGTGAAAACACCTAATCTTTTTTTGTAACATCTGGAGGTATCAATAAAGCACAGCATACGGTATTAATAGAGGTTTCTTTATTCCAATTAGCATCATTGCGCGAATACCTTATTTTCATAGCTTAATCTAAATCGGAAACTTTAATCGTCGTTCTGCAGATGTATTTCTATAGCTATCCCAATAATTGATTTTCTTTACATCTTTTGGCGAGGATCAGTTAATTATAGCTTGGCTCATTGCTATGGAAAATCTGATTCGATGGTCGATGAAGCGATTAAAAAGTCAGTTCCGTTTATTAAGCAGCACGAAGTACAGATACTAGTCTCGTGCAGCGTTAAAAAGCTACATTTTACACGAACTTGTGAGAATAAACGTAGGAAAATTAATGTCGCATGAACTACTTTGGTGCTCACTACAAATAATTTTACAGCTAGTCAACGTTTTCGCAGCAAGGATATTAATCGCTTTTTTTACTGGTTTTAAGTAGGTATGCGCATGAAGCAGATCGCTGCTGCTCTGGGTGTAAGAACAAACGAGATCACGAGAAGCAACGAGAGCATGCTGGGGATTCTTAAAATACTCCAAGCGCAAGATTCTAAATCACTAAGGCTTAGGCGAGCCGTCAGTCGCTAGTTTGAGAGAGAAAAAGAGGAAGAGAGAGAGAGAGAGAGAGAGCAAGCGCGACCAGGGATTACTGTACCTTATACTTCAAAGCGTTTTCTCTTTACTTATATACGCTTTCCTATAACTTGTAAGTGCATCGTCTCTCTTCCTCCCTTTTGTCTTCTTTCTCTTATTACATGTAAATTTACTAAAGCAATTCAACCCTGAGCATCTAAGAAATGACGTTTAAACGTCTTCCAAGTAATTGTTGAACAATTTATGCACTTTATCTATGACCTCTTCAATTTAGTTTTTTTTTCAATGTTAACTTGTAATCAAGATTTGTTGAAGCATCGCCCAGGATTACAATAGTTTTCATAAAATATGATTTAACATTTATAATATAATTAATGCATTTAAAATATTTTTACATTGCAGCAAGTTTTTGAGATAAAAGAAGTCCACTGCGTAACGATATTTTAGATTAGATTAAATATTTATAACATAGACAGAAGCGACTGGTTGATCCAAGCACGCCTCGCAGCCGGCAAAAACGTATAGAATACGTGTACTCGCGGAGAATCGCGTTTGCATGCGCACAGGAAAGGAGAAGCTCACACTCAAGTTGATTGCCATTTGCATATTGAGACAATATAGCTGGAAGTAGGAGCGAGTGCAGTCGATGCCGTTGAGTATAGCTACTTGGCTTTGCGCGCATGTATGTCGTGCAGCCTAGCTCGGATCATTTCTGCCAGCTTGGAAGGCGAGAAGGAAAACGTAGTACCTACAACGCAAGCCCGCCCACGAGCAAAACACTTTTGCAAATGAGCTCCTATGTTGGGCTCAATCGTATTCAATTTACATCTACAATTGGATGATTAGACTCGATGACTATTATATTTAAAAGCTACAGACAGCGAGTCATTATTTTAGTACATGCAGCAGCAAGATTAGCGTCTACTCACCAAGCTGAAGGGTGCAATTCAAATGCTACTGTTTTACAATGACTTTGAATTTAGATCGTCTACGCATTGTACATTTTTAACGCTCATCATGTTATGTTAACGCGCTAAAGAAACTAGTCGATTTTTTCGATGTACCCTTTGAAAATTAATTTATCGACGCTGAAAGTTTAAGTAATTTCGAAACTTTACCAAACCACAAGCTCGCTCAATTTCCTATCCATCGTGACTTTAATGTTAAAACACAAGAATCCATATGAGCATCGTCATGTAAAATAAAAAAGGTCCGAATCAAAATGAAAAGAACCACCGACACTTGCCACGAAGCAACAGAAAAGTATTATTTATGAGGCTGTAAATTTTCATAGACCAATCTGAACATATTACAAATTATAATTTAGGCTCATTCATCATGTCAAGTCAGTTGAAGGCTATATTTGAATTTGGTACGTTGAGACATGATCGGAATTATTGGGCATTGTGGCGCGTATCAGAAAAAGTCTAAAAAGACCGAGCAGTACGTGTTCAAAGTGGCTTAGAAGACGGAAACACAAATTAAATTTTAAATCCATTTTTAGTTTTCTTCCGTCGCTCTGCGATACACAAGAAGGGTTCATTATAATAAAGTGGAGGGATTAGCATTGCTCGCGTCGCTGCGGTAACGATTAATATTCCAGTCATAGGGAGCAAGCGTATGTATGCCATATCGCGCGGCTGTACACGAGGCGCGAAACAAACGAAGAAAAAGTAATTAAAAGCTCGAGCTGAGCACACGTATAGGTAGGCGGAGGCGAGCTTTGGAAGGAGCTGCGGAAGCTTAAACGTATAAAGTGTGTATATATATATAGTGAGGCGTGCGTACATATATAATGAATTTCAGATTTCGCATTCATCGCGAGCTGCGTGGCAAAGGCAGAAGACTCGGCAAGCCAGAGAAGCTACAATAGTGAGTAAGAGAGGGTCGGAGCTGTGCTCCGTGAGCATGTTTGTCGGTTTATGTATCCAACATACGGTCGGCATAATGTAGCGTAATAGGTATAACATTAACGCGCGACGATATTGTAATAAAGGCGAAGCGGCGACGGCGTTTGCTTATAATGCCCAAAGTACCGAGGCCACACGCGTACCTACGCAGCACCCCCGGCCCGCGTCCGATCCCTTCCCTGTATAATAATAATAAATATATACAATATACATACAATACATACACTTTGCAGACAAAAGGGGGTGCATAATTTATCGAGGGCGATTTAGCCCGTAACTTGGCCTTTGCCACTGTGCATGTGCGAGCCTGTGCTACTGTAATAATGGCATGCATTACACGCAGTGATGCTTTTGCGGGATGGTCTTTTTTCTCTCTCTCTCTCTCTCTCTCTTACTTACTGACGCGCAATAACTCCATCGCACCCACTTCGTTATGTCGATCGTTATTGTTGCACGTGCATAATTTGCTCGATGGGATCATTGCTCTTTAATCGATTTTGCAGATATCGAATAAAGAGATAGCTGCTGATTACCGTGATTGCTTGCGTAGTTCTTCGTCTCTCCTTCCAAACATCTGGCGGAATTCAAAGGGTTAAAAGTTGAAAAATAACTATGCAAGCACAAGACTTTGAAGTAGAATAGAATCGGTTTTATTGTGACTAGATTACAAATGGGTATGCCTTCCATCGTCAGATGGGCTGATTAGGAACGTTTATACTCGGGCGCGCCTTAACTGACAATGGCTGGCCAAGTATCTTAAGATAACAGTATTACCTTTTTACATGGTCGTCGTCACTGTTATACCGTCTGCTTTAGGATGTCATCAACGTAACGCGATGAATGGCCTTTCTTTCGTTTTTATGTTTTTTTCTTCTCCTTTTCACAGAGTATCGTGCGAGTTTCTCTATTCGTTTCAGACATTTTTCCCTTTTTCCATTTACTCGTAACCGCATCTTTTCTTTACTTTTTTTGTACGACTTTGAAATTCATGCAAAATATCGACCGTTTTTTCACATTCTTATATCGGGTTTGAATATATTCATGTAACTTTTGAATTCGTCTATGGCCTTTTTGACTGACATCGACTTTGCCACGTCAACTTCCGTACTGACGCACAACTAAAAATTATGATAATTGTCAAACATTGTCTCGTTAAGTGATATACTTTGCACAATGTTTATTGCGTATAATAAATACTCGATGCACGATTTTACACAAATATTTTATACTTGTACAAATACGAATAGTTTTTACCCAGATAATCGAAATTCATTGAGATGTCAAACGTTCAAAGTTGCGCGAGGTGTCAATTTATAAATATGTATAATGGTTACTATAATTTAAACAACTATATTTCGTTGCTATTAATTATATGTATTTGTATGGCACTGGCCACTCTATTTACTAAAGTAATTAACGCTTAGACTGTACAATTATTTAAATCCTTAAAAGGTATACTATTTTGCCATAAATTATTTCACAATGTCACCTCTCATTCCGTAATAATTACGGAGTCATCATTACCTTACCAGCTAAAACATTTTTGGTATGTATATGCCGAACTTGATTAGCATTTATATATTTTGTTTTATTTATGTTCATATATTTTATTATCATTAAATTTGTTTGTATATAATTTATTATCATTTTATAAATTTCTGTTTTTACCTTTGTATACAATTATCGTCGAGTCATAACAATTTGCTTTTTCACTATATTTATATTAGTCTTACTGTTATTTATTTCAAACGTTCACTATACAGAATATCTACATGGGATGATTAGAAAGGTCTTTGATTATTCTTATAAGACTATCAGCACACGAGCATTGACACGTGATCAGGTGTTTGTCCAACAGGATCCGATGCATCGGTAAATCGAGCATAATATTGAAAATATCGATGATGAAAAGGGAGTCGAGTCAAAGAAAAAAACTCGTAGAAAACTAATCATACGGAGGAGATGAGAGTGGAACTGGATCGACGAAATGGAAAAGCTGACGAGCGTGAAAAACGCTCTCCCGTCCGGATAAATCCACTTCCATCATGGATCTCGCTGAACAGCGTCGTTGCGTACGCTCTGTTGCGGCTGCAACTGCAAAGCCGGCGAGCTCTCCGGCCAGTCGTATATCAAGGGAGGCCAGTAGCCGGCCGCCGAGGCCGCAGCCGAATGCTGCAGGTATCCGGCCAAGCTGGAAGTGGCCGAAGCTGCACCAGCCAAGCCCAAGCGCTCGACCGAGTTGACCTGGACCGGGGCCGCGAGCCCAGGGCCTCCGAGCTCCTCGTGGCTCTCGCTGAGCTTTCGGTCCGTCGCGGTGCTCTCGTCGTCGAACAGGTAGTTGTTCGGCGACGCCATCGACGAGGGAGTCGACGACAGCGTGGGCGATCCTACGGCGGACCTTGGCCTATGTCACTCGACGGGCTCGCTCGAGTTGTGATGTTGCTGCTGCTGCTGTAGTTGGGGCTCGTCGGTGGCAGAGGCTTGACTCGTGCCGGTGGCGTCGATGCCATTGTTAGCCGCGAGTCCAGCGCCGATCGCGTGTTGCTGCTGCTGTTGCTGCTGCTGCTGCTGTCGGGGGCTGTTGGAAGCCCCCGCCTCGCCTCAGACCGGGGCCCGGACCGTGGCGCTCGCGTCGGTGCTCGGCGAGTGAGGATTCGCCCCTATCGACAGTCCGTACTGACAGGCGCTGAGGCCACCGCCGCCCGACGAAGCCCTCGAGCTGACGGGACTGATGCTGCCCCCGCCGACGCTGCCCGACGAGGTGTTGTTGTTGTTGTTGTTGTTGTTGTTGTTGCTCGTCGCCCCGGCGCCGCTGTTGAAGCCCGAGTAGGTGGTGCTGTGCTGACGGGCCTTGAGCCGCAGCGAAGCTATGCTGTTGGTCATGACGTGGGTGTCGGGCTGAGCGGCGGCCCGGTGGTGCGAGTAGACCGGCGGCCCGTAGGCGTGGTGCGGCGCCGTCGGAGCCGCGTAGGGACAGGCGGCGCTCGAGGCGGCCACCGGCGAGCCGGCCACGCTCAGTCCCGAGGTCATGCCGGGGATCATGGAGGTGGCGGCTTGGCCGACCGACACCGAGATCCCGGCCACGTGGCCGCTCGACAGGCCGCTGCCCGAGCTGAAGCAGTTGACCGGCGTCACGTGGGGATTGTGATGGCTGCCCAGGGCGTTGACGGGCCAGCTGAAGGTCTTGGAGTTGAGGGGCGAGGGCACCTTCGAGGCCCAGTTGTAGTACGAGCTGTTGTTGTAGAGGTCCGGGTCGCCGAACGGCTGGCTGATGAAGCTGTTCAAGCCCGCCGTGCTGAAGTTCGACTTGAAGTTTTCGGCCGCCGCCGCCGCCGCGTTGATGGCGTTTCGCTCGCGCTTTCTCCACTTTGCCCGACGATTTTTAAACCAGACCTGCAACATGACATTTTTGCATCTTAATTAAATCGTGTTAAAGAGTGTGCGAGTGCGTAAGTGTGTGCGAGAGGAGACATTTGTTTTCGTCGCGCTCGCTTGCGATATGAATAATGGATCGGGTATAGCGGAAATAAGGCGCATCGCAAGCACAAATAAAGCACTCGCGAGAGCCATTAATCTAGCGAGACGCTCCTTCTTCTCGCAAATATTTCACCTGGGAAGGAGCTTGCGAATGAAAAATACAGGGATCCCTTTGGCTGCAGGCGCAAGTTTTCGTGTGACGATAATCGCCCTCGTACCGTAGCGCGGCTTCCTCCTCTCTTCTGATTAAAAAAATTTCCCCGGGCTCTCTCGCCAGTTATATACGTAAATATAACGATCGCGCGAGCTTTTGCATGCTATTATACATATATTTCTGTGTGTGTATGTGTGTAGAGGTAGATAGTGCGCCAGATTTATATGTATCGTCTCGGTGGCGCGTATTACTCAGGCTGAAGAAGAGGCGAGCCATGTTCGAGGGAAAGAGAGAGAGAGATAGCACCCGAGCAAGAGGGTCGAGCGAGAGGAAGAGCGACGAGACAAATGGCAGGAGAGCGAGCCCCTCTTAGCGTGCGCCGTATATGCTGTTCCCTGCATGGCTGCCACTCTGAAATATGATGGCGTTAATTCAAGTCGGCGCGTGGCTCAGCGCCTAATGCGCAGCTCCCAAGCGCTATTTTCCCTTCGGCATCGCCGCTACATCTCCTTATGTACTTTTAACAGTTTTTTAACCATCCATCCCCTGGATGATGGCTGGTAGGCTCGATGCGCCGCCGCGTCTTACAATGCCTGAACGAACCCGCAGCTAGTCGTAATCAATTGCTTTGCCGAACTCGGGAGCTTTCGATGATTCTCCATCGCAGCTGTAACGAAGGACGATATCTCGGACGCGCAGCGAATCGCGAAATCGCCGGCAATTATACAGCTGGCTGCCCGGCTTAATGTGGTCGGCGGCTCGCTTATGCACCTTCGTCCACGAGCGAAAAGAGACAGATGCCGGCGCTGCGGTTGCGCCCGGAAAATACATCGTCAGCCCCTCGGCTGGATGCTTGCGAGCGACGTTCCGAGCGACGTTCCGAGCGACGTTCCGAGCGACGTTCCGAGCGGCGCACGAACGCGCGAGATGCGAGTCATTGAATGAGGGGAAGCGCCAAAGTATAACTTGTGTGCCTCGATCGCGCAACTAATGAAGAGTAATATACGACGACGCCGTCGGAATCTTTCTGCTAAGGCTGCCACTGTCTCACCGTGCACTGCCAATTTTACTCGCTCGGTCTGATAATTTTTCACCTTTTTCTTTGCATTTTTCGCATTAATTCGCAATGGCGGGTGTGAAAAGCTCAAATTCGTATTCATATGCGAATGACGAGTGAAATGGGATTTTTAATAAAAACTTTTCATTGAATAGGATGCATGTCTTTTCGATTGAAAAAATTATTTCGAAACCCATTGGTAAATTATAATCAGCGCAATTGCTAATGGTGAAAGGTCGAAAAAATCCAAGTTGTTTCCAGGAAAAATTTTCTTAAAATCGAGTAATGTTAGATAAAGCGATAGCAGGGTGTGCGGGTGACCAAGCGAGGGTGATTGATGAGACCTCAGTCCGTAGTCTCATCACAGCTACGTAAGCTTCTCTAGATTGAGCTGTGATACGCTGGAACTATTACAGTATATATAGGCACGCAACGTTCTTGAGAAAAGAAAAGAAAAAGAAATGAGAGGAGAAGAAGTAGCTTAAACCCCACAGCCTCGTACCAACATGCTTTTATAGATAGACAAACATATTATATGTGTACGGAAGCGCTTAGAAAAGCGAAGGGTCATGATTCGATGAGGTTTTATTGCCTTTCACTGCGCACGAGCTACACACACATTTTCCAAGGATTGTACGCACGCGCCTGCGACCACTTAATTTCGAGTTACCGCGCCCATTTTCGGCCATCATGGCCACAAACCCGCTCGATAAATAACTTCTGGCAGATTGCATTGCTTTTTACATTTATTATAACTTTTGAATATTTTTAATTTTTTTTTTTATATACTTTCATTTATTAAACGTTCGCACAAATGACTTTAGATCGTTCTTCGGGTATTATAATTGAGATTTGCAAAGTGACTCGCTTGAAATCTCAAAAAGTGCGGCTCCCTCTTTACTTTTATAAAGCCAATCAAGGTCGTCGCCCAATGGACGACTCTATGCGACAGTTGGGTGCCACTGCTCAAGGAATCAGTGATCTTATAAAGAACTGAGCGCGCTTTTATACCGAGAGAAATTTAAGAAAAAAACGAGCAGTCAAGTTGGTGGTAAGAAATCATCCTCTCGTATATTTTTATCTCTGTCCACTACGACATTGAGGTTTTTCTCATAAAAAGCTCTCTGCGTGTGGTATCTGCACCACATCAATACATCACATTATACTCTATAACTAATCGGCTTTTATTTTAATTGTTTTTTATAGGATAGTTAGTTATTCGCATGAAAGATGGAATAATGGTAATAAAGTAGTTGGCTTGCATTCGATTAAGACGAGTCCAAGTGGTGAATCGAGCTGCTTTGGACGTAAATGAAATATTGCGATGTAATAAGAAATCGCAGCTTCGTTTGTGTAATTTGATTCGCGAGAAGCAAAGTAAATGAGCCTTTGGAAAAGGACGACGGAAGCCTTGAATCGTATATTCGAGCGCGTGACAAAAAGTCATTCTGATTGATCTAGCGGGAGTTGGCACGGTAGCTTTGTCACGTCGAAGGAAGAAACTCTGGCTGGTCCATTCGTCATGACAAACGCGTTGGGCAGGCGAAGCGAGTGAGGGAGGCTGCAGCGCATGTACGTTTACGATTGTCTTGGTCGAATCGTACGTACGTCGATGAAACAACAGAATAGCGGCACAAAACGATCGAGTGATAAATCTGGGCGAGCTTTTAAATTGCTCCATCTCTTATAGGTAAAGGGATAAAATGCCCATTTGCGCGCGAAATGGAAAATGTTAGGGATTCGACACACAAGTGCAGCCACATACAGGAAGGGAAGGGTAATACAAAAAAATAATGAGTTTGCAGGAGTAGCCGAATGAAGATGCGTACGCATAGAAAAGTGGCTTCACTCGCTGGACTCACGACTCATTGAATCGCTCATTGTATGCCCGAGTGCGATATAGGGGCAAGCGAGCTCGGCAAAAAAGCTTTCATATTCGTGAGCTCACGTACACACACACTTGGTACGAAGCTGCTGCTTCTGGTCTTTGGACCCGGAGACGCCAGCTGCCTCTGTATATGTAAGAGCTACTGCTAGAATGTAAAGGATAGAGTATACGCCGAGTAGAGGGAAGGAGGAGGATTATATTGATCCCCCTCGGTGTGGCCCCGCCCCTCCTAAGGCAAGCCGAGCTGCGTCGCCACCGCCGCCATCATTACGTTATCCACCATCCCTCGCTCTCTCTCTTCTGCTCTGTCTCTCGTACTCGCTTGCGTGGCTACATACATACAAAGCTCGAGGCAGCTACTACGATCTTCTTACGTGTGTGCGTGCGCGGGTCTTTGTTTTTCTGGCTCTGTTGTCCGACCAAGCGGCAGCACACATTTACTCGCCGATATTCCAACTCTTATCTCACAGCTCCACTTCTTTTTCAGCTCCACTCTCTTTATCTACGAATGTGCCCGTTATGATGCAGTTTGTATCATTTTTATTTGTGCGTGACCTCGAGACGGGGCCAAAAATTGCGACGGGTCCTTACTCGCTACCGATGTACGTCCGCTTGACGAGCGAAGGATCGTTTGGTTAGCTCGAGGCAAAAGTCGAGGCGCAAAGAGCCAGACACGCGCGCAATAAAAGTATAAGTTGTTCTCGAGCTATAAGGTGAGTTGGCGCGCTCGGCTACGCATAGCCCAGCGGAGGCCGCGTACACGAGGCGTGCGCCACTTCATTAAAAATAAATTCCGCCAAAGAGCCAGCGGATATCCGGGGGGCTTCGAAGAGGATTTCATGCTGCCTCCTGCGCGGCCGCGTCCATAACTTCCGAGCGGCGTTATACCGGCGCGAAAAGAGAGTAAGAGAGTGTGGCGCGCGCTCCAAAGGTGCAACAAGCTACTTAAGCTCTTATGGCCTCGAGTCGCGCTCGCACTCGAGCTTTCTTTCCTTGTGTTATTTATTTATCCAGTTCGGGGGCTAGAACGCGCGCGGATGTGCACGAGCGCTTCGCTTATTTACTGCTGCTCTCTGCAAATGCATTCTTCGATTTTTTCGGTGGCTTGTTTGCTGAATTACATATTCGATACACAACGTACCTGAAATCGAGCTTCGTTTAAAGTAATATATTTACTCTTCCGCATGTTTACAGTCGATAAATTATACAGTCTGACCAAATACAACCGTGAACCTCGACATTAATTAAAGTTCATTTTTTGTTTTTCTTTCTGATCCGTGCCTCTGTTTCCCCAAAAAAATTGAAATTAAAAAAAAAATGTTTAACGACGAGTCAAGTGCAATAAATGCATACACATATACACTTTTATGTATATTATGAATGTAAACAAACAGGATAGATACACACGTAGTTGCTCAAGTGGCGCGATCATATATACAGATATTATCTTTGAATGTGCTCGTATCATCGAGTGCTGCGCGCGATAAAACATCGCGATACGTACAACGTTCGCATGTATACGGTCGATTCTCCGTCGAGTCGAATGTCCTAAAATTTTCCGGACTTTCAACGTTGAGCATTCGGAAATTTTTTCCACGCTGTTAGTTGGTACTTCCTTAACTTTTTCAACAAATCCATCAGTCTGGCAACTGGAAACGTATAAAGAAACGTATGAAAAACGCGCAAAAATGTTATAACTTTATAGCTACATAATATGAGCTATTATTTTAATACATTTTTCTATACGTTAGAATTTTGAAACTGTTCATCGAGTCAAAGAGAATCTTGAAAAATTATTCGGCCATTTGATTTAACAGAGAATCGGCCATATATCTGAGGCTTGAGCATTCGCATGATCATCAATGTATTCATATAGTTGCAAATTGTTTAATAGACTTCGTCAGCTGCGATATCGGCTTTATTTTCTTTGTTTGCGTCGGTGTCCTTTTATGTGTGTTAACGGCCCACAGGCGTACAAACGTAAATAACTCGACCGCTGCATGAGTACGAGTAACGATAAGCTACGACAATGATAAAAGTGCAACGAGCCGAGGGGCTAATAATCATGATCGAACGTTTCTCTTCTACGTATTTTCTGCTCTTATCGTTGCAGCAACATCTTGCCATCCAAAATAGACTTTTCAGAAGTATTGTTTGTTTCGCTGATAATTGAGCAGGTTTCAGCCAGCAAAATGTACTCAACACTTTTTTGAAAATCGAGAATAAATAATTTCGATTATTTTTTGCAAAAAGTCTAGCTAAAGCTTGTAAAGTATGCGCTAGCGCAGACTGCATAGTTTTTACCACATGATGGATGGTTGTCTTTCAAAGTCCCTCGAGCATCGATGACGAATTATTTCATTCACGCACGTGTGCTCGGCGGGGTAATATATGCAGGAATCGTAAATGTCGCTTTGTTGCTGCTGCTGAATGTGTGTCAGTTGACAAGACCATAAAATATCTCGAGGCGCTGCTCTTTGTCCTACTTCATACTGATATAATTATTTTTTTAATTGCTACGTAACTAATTTTTACACGGCTTGAATGAATTTTTAAAATTGTAGACGAACTCGCGAGAACAGAATCAATTAATAAAACAAGTAAGACATTTACTTTTAGAAAAAGAAAGAAAATAAGGTAGGTTGTTTTTTCACAATAAATTGCGAGGTTTGAGAAAAACTTTATATATTCTCATATAGACCTGAAAAAGATAACAAATTTTTGACTCATAAATAACTGTCTTTCGCTGTTCCTCTAAGCGATGCAGCTCTCATGAAGTTATGAATGCAAACGACGAGCTCGCTTGTTACACAAAGTTTTTTTTGCGTATACACACGAATAGTCGGTGCAAAAGAACATAGAGCGCGCAAAGCGTCGGGCGCGTTTCGCGCGTCGGAAAATATACAGTAAAAGAAAACACGAAAGTTGGAACGAGATGGATAAGAAAAAAAGTATCGTACCGCTCGCGCATGCATATAGAAGCTCGTCGCGAGGGGAAAAAAGCCCGAAGCATCTCCATAAATCTCGCGGTTCGTAGCAGCTCGTTGCAGCGCAGCGCAGAGATGGATCATACAGCGAAAGAACTGAAAATGATCACGTTCGCTGCTAGAGAGCACGAATTGCTTAGCTAGACAATTTTTACACATCCTCTTGTCTGTTGCAGCAAGTTTTTCCATCCGACGCGGCCGTGACGTACCGTAGCGGATATATATCTTCTCATTCCGAAGCTTACGTGGGCGATATAATATGTAGGACGGCGAAGCATACCAGCGATTAAATTTAGATTATGATTTGACTGATCACTCGAATGAATTATTTTTCTCCAGTTCCAGTAAAAATGACGAATTAAACGCGTGTAACTTTGTTGTTTCATCATTTTGCCCTTGGCGTCGTGACTTTGAGAAGCTACCGCGCATGACTTTTGCGCTGTCTGACAGTTTAGAAATATCATGGCCACAAACTATTATCGTTTTACATCTAAAACCACCCTGGGTGAATCGTTCAAAATTTATATAGGCTTTTGAAATATCTAACGCTCAAAATCCCAGCTGAAAATCGAGAGACTCGTGTGTCGCAAACTTGTAAGTTTTATGGATTCTTTTATCCGATTGGATATGTTGAGAACGCGGAATAGGTCAGCCACGAGACACATAAATATAAGTGCGACTAAAGAGAGAGAGAGAGAGAGAAAGCGAGATTTGGATATTCAATGTTGGTGCACCTGTATGGATATTAAATTAACAGACTGGTAAGCCCTGGCGAGTATTAACAACTTTGCAAAAGATTATACGAGATTATGAGCTCAAGCGGGAGACACGTGATTTTTAATGTTGCTGTACGGCGCAGTCGGCTTGGCGCAAGCACGCCCAATGGCTTACGGCTGGTGGACGCTCTCCAACGCACGGCTCGGAAGCGAGCGTTGGCTGCAGTAGCTGCAAAGAAAACACGAACCGATGATAAAAAGGACCGAGCGAACATCGAGGAAGCGGACTCTGTCGTCGTCCAGGCGCGTTCACGGATAACTCCTTGTTTTGGCCTGCGCTAACTAACTACAGCCGCAGTGAGCTTTTTCAGTCAGGCGCATTTTGAAATATTATCGGCCAAAACTGGCTAGGCTTCATTAAAAGGTCGAAAATTCAGCTCGCTATTTCAGGATTGCGCCCGAGCCAAAGGACGCAATCCCAGGCTGTACACGCGCCGACGTGCTAAACTATCGCTCGCTCGCTCCAACTTGCCGAAATCCGGGCTAACGCTCGAGCCGGCGTCGCGCCTAATGAATCTGCACCTATCCGAGCGCTGCCTAATGGCCAGCTGCAGCCGTCGATATTAGAACGAATGTAAATGCGCGCGATGCAAATCTGCCCCGAGGATTGCCGACTGGCCGCTAATAATTGATATATACGGCTTTCGGGGCGTCGGTGGGTGGCCTCGCGCGCGCTCGCTCGCTGACAGGCGCACTACTAAGCTATAATCCTCGCTCGAGCTCCAGCTAGCGCTGCTGCTCTTTATGATCCGCGGCTGAGCCTCGAAATGAAAATAAATACTGCGCTGGCGCTTGTCTTTGCCCCGAGGATTTTCGGCACTTTTAGGAGCGGCCGCGTTCTGCCGTTCCACGGGTTCGCGACTGCCGCCGAGCTCTCGAGTCGGGCGTGCCGTGCTATCTCGTCCGCGTATTAATAGCCCAGCTTCGGCCGCTTTTTTCTTTCTTTTTCCAAACCAGTAGCAAGTCAAATGTATTATGTCAGCTAAGCCACGAGTGTCAAAATTGATTTCGTAGCTTGATTACTCGGCGCTGCTAATTCCTTGATCCAGCTTGATCGAGCCACAGCGATCGTGACGTTTTTCACCGGCAGAACGAGAGTGCGTGCGTGCTCAGGAAACGCGATGATTCGGTCGCTCATTTTTTTCACGCCTAAATACTCTATAAGTAGCGCCCAGTGAAATCATCTCGTCGTGATTTTTTTTCCATCTTAGCTGTAGGCAATGGACGCGTATAGGCCCGAGCTGCCAATTGGATTGAATATATTTCATCGTTCCATGGGAATACGTAAGAGGGAAAAGTCAGGATGGGATGAGAAAGAAAAAGGGAGGAAAAAGAGGATGATGAAGCGATGCAGGCCGCAGTATTCGCTGCACCGTCGGCATACGAAGACATTACAGGGGGATGTTGGCTGCAGATGCAGCACGAGCTGACGCGCACCGCGCCAATACTAATCCGCCAATGGATTTACGGTCTTAATCACCGGCGGATTATCGTCGGACAGCGACATTCGCGGCTGGCGCTGCTGCAGGCCTGCCGGTATCTATATGTACATTGCGCGCCTGCTGGAGTCGCTCCTCGCCGATAACTCGGCCGGACTAGATCGAGCGCGCATCCAGTCACGTACGTACGTGTACTATTCAAGGCATGTCTGGCCACAAACTGGTTTTTTGGGAAAAACTTATCGCGAGCGAGAGACGTTTGCTCGACTGTTTCGACGCGTCAATCCTGCGGGCCCGATAAAATCGAGAGGGACTTTTGGCGCAGGTGCACTGATTAGCGCACAGAGTCGGCCTAGACGTTGCTACAGCGCAAAAGCGTCCGCGTTTTCGGCACAACGTTCAGGGCCAGATTTTGTGGAATTTCGCGGTGTACATTTTATACGCGTAGTACTAGCAGCAGCAGCGAGTCGAGATGCAAGTGCCGCTGTAGTCTAGTCGAGGCGGTGGAGCGCATAACGTCGTGGCCTATAGTTGCGGGGCGCGCGTGCGGTTCTATAAATCCATAGGGGTTTACTGAGCGCAAAGCCTCTGTCGGACGCTTTCTCCCTCTCTTTGCACACATATATACTTACTCGTCTCTCTTTCTCTCTCCTACATACACATGTATACGCACGCACGAGTTTGTTGCTGCAGTACAGATTCTCTCTCTGTACTATACTCTGAATACGATATATGTGCGACAATTTTAACAACGAAACTACTATACACTTCCTATATAAATGCAAAATTGAGAAGGATAGAAGCATAACATCTGACTGCGGGTATACGTCGCCTGGCAGCTCTCAAATATCTTGGCCGCTGCTTGCTGCTCTGCTGCCTCAACATGATTTTGCATAAACCAATGTCCAGGACATTTAAATAAATGTGGCTGAACGCGCAGCCATCTACAATTTCAGCATACATTTCCCCTGGATATTTTCCTTTTCGTTACGTATAAATGTCATCTTTGCGAATCTTCTTTCTTTATTTTTTTTTCTTTTTTGACTCGCGACCTATCGCTATGCTTGTCAAGAATCCGTCAATTATAAAAATCTTTACGTATAAAATTTACGCAATGGCGTACTTGATGTAATTTCCAATCGCGACAACGAATTTTTGAACCGAGTGATATATTGACATGAAACAGTTTGCCAATGCCAAAAGTAACGAGCGTACGTTTTTGTTGTTGCAATTCTACGTGCGTATATGATTATTGACTTGGTAATTCAATATTCGTGTAATCTGCTGTCCATCTATAAACAGATGGAAAGAGAGAAAGAAAGAAAGAAAGAAAGGAAAATAGAAAGCAGAAAAGAAGAAAGGAAAAAATGATAGAGAGCGACGTTTGTTTATTATTATTTGTGAACGTGCTTGACTTTATCACGTCGCTCTTGATTGTTACTGCGTATATTTACTTGTGCAATTTTTGCTCCAGTGATGAGCGTTTGTATGAAAATCATTGTTCCAACTACTCACCCTGACTCTTGCTTCGCTGAGGTTCGTCCACATGGCTATTTCTTCTCTCGTCGACATGTCAGGATAACGATTTCTCGCAAAAGTAGCCTCTAGTTCTTGAAGCTGTTGAGACGTAAAATGTGTTCTCTGTCGTCTCTGACGTTTGCCCTTTTTGCCATCTTTGTCGTCGTCGTTTGAGCCACCACCGCCTCCGCTCGGTGAACCGCCCGACGTCACCAGCTCGTGTTTTATTTCCGTTAAAGGCCGGTCCCCTGAAAGCATCATTTTTTCTTATAAGCAGCGAGTCATGTTAACGATGATATACTTTTTTTTAACTTTTTGGCCAGAATAAAAAGTAGTTGATGAAAATTTGCAAACGATTAATCAGTCGAATGTTGACAACCATAGTTGCAGGTACTGCTCCTGCAACATATGGGCTTTCAGCTGTCCAACTTTGTCTATGACGTATTGAAAACAAAAACAAAGATAGATGAATATAGTGACGTAAAAAATGGCGCAGTGATCGATAGCGAAACTGATAGCTTTAAATCTATCGATGTATTTTTATTTTTAAAGTTTTTAATTCGTATCGTATTGTTTTTTTTTTTTTTTTTTTTTTTTTTTTTTTTTTTTTTTTTTTTTTTTTTTTTTTTTTTTTTTTTTTTTTTTTTTTTTTTTTTTTTTTTTTTTTTTTTTTTTTTTTTTTTTTTTTTTTTTTTTTTTTTTTTTTTTTTTTTTTTTTTTTTTTTTTTTTTTTTTTTTTTTTTTTTTTTTTTTTTTTTTTTTTTTTTTTTTTTTTTTTTTTTTTTTTTTTTTTTTTTTTTTTTTTTTTTTTTTTTTTTTTTTTTTTTTTTAATTTAAAAAATCAATTGCTATTAAACTTTTGAAATTAGTCAGAAAAGATATCGAGATGCCAAAATTCCATTGATATTTGATTGCTTAGAGTATACAATTCTGGTCCAAAACCAGTTCAAATTTGTACTATAGTCAAATCATTTGGTCAACGTATGCTATTGGTTGTAAAAAGATTAAAGCATTAATTTAAAAAATTGCTAAGCCAGTTTATCAAATTCATTTATTTTATATAGACTGCAACACTTCAATTTCGAGATAAACAAAAACACTACCCGAATTGCGCGTCAAAATGAGTGTTTAATATTTTTTTATATTTTAATTTTCATATTTTAATTTCGATAGACGCAAACGAATGATATCTGAATGTTTCGAAATTTCAAGATTTTCATTCAATAAATTATATAACATGATTAGATCTCTTTTTGGGTTGTACCGCGATTAACGTGATACAGCCTATATAGATATTAATGTTATGCTAAGCATTAATCGTCCTCGGAAACGTCCACACACACACAATAAGTATAGATCGATCAATCAAATTTTAACAGTCAATCGAGCATAATATCAGTCTCAGCTGCAGAAATGGCTCGAATGGATACATTTTAAGTTAGCTGGGTAATCGCTGGTCGGGTGGTGCGTTTAGATCGACGGTATGGGTGACGGCTGACACAACTCCCCGCTGTGATACTGACAGGTGTGAATCCATTCAAGTCACCCTTTCAGATCGATCGAGTACGCGATCCAAACAATGTAACAAAATTTTAATTTCCTCAGGTAATCGATGACGATCTCTTTGAAGTGGGAACAAATTATTGAAACTGATCTGCCAATTTTCGCGATAGGCTTAATGCATGAAATCGTAGATTTGTTTTTTTAGTGAATTGATGACTTAATAATAAGTTCATTTCATTTTCTATGATAGTAAAAAAATCAACGACAACCAGTTTGAAAATTGGAAAAAGTTCTATTGACGATGTTTTTCAAGTTCATTTGAATGATTCGAGCTCATGTCACTATTTTCTTAAACCTAAATATTTTGTTTCTATTAGATTTGTGGGTAAGCTCATTCTGAACAATTGAAATTTGATATTCAGTCTCGGCCACTGAGTAAAAAATATGTAACCACTAAGCTTGCAATTAATTGTCTTTATTTTCAAATAAACATTATTATAGCTTAATTAAAGTCAATTGATATCTAATTCACTCTATAAAAAGTGATATTATTATAAAATTGTTACCTTTGCGAATGTCAGTGGGCCTTTGTATACTATTGTTGCGATTTCTATGCTGAGCCGCGGCAGAGAATCCGCCGGAGGGAGTTGTGGGCGCCGCGCCCGGTGTGCTAGGATTACTGCCACCACCGCCGGCTGTGTGCGTTGAAGAATCAAGCCTGGCCAAACCACTCGTCGTTTCATCTCGGAAGTCGTTTTGGGCCCATTCTGTGGTTAACAAATAAAACCAATGTTATGGTCAAAATCATTATATGAAATCGAATGATATGTAATTTGTGACTGGCAGCTGCCTTTAATACGCTTACGTATTAAAATTCATAAAGTGATAGCTCTTTGCCTGTTTGTATGATTGATGTACATGTATCATTTAATTTTTTGATATTAGTTTTTGATTAGTTTTTGATAGTTCAAATAGGGCGACAACAAAATTGTGCAAAACAATTATCCAAATTTAATACTTTTTAAGACTGATGAAAAAATGATATAGAAAATTTAAACATCATGCTTAATTGCATGGATTTATAAAGGATAAAGAGTGAAGTAAACGTTATAAGTATGCGAGTGATTTATAATATGAATTATAGCTTGCAGTCAACTAAGAACAAAAAGGCATCAAAAAAGCCATAAAAGTACGTGTGAATCGTTCTTGAGATTTTGGTGCACAAAAAAAGCAATCCAGATGTAAAAACACACAAATCGCTAGAAAACAAATTTGTCAAAAAGTTATCATGGCATAACGCAGTGAGCGAGGGGCGTAAGCAAAAATTAATATCGTCTCTTTATTTTGAAAATTTTCGTCGACAGGCGTCAAAATTCCAGAGTTTATAATATCATCCGCTAATAAAATACCACAAAATAAAAAATAAAAAATGTGCCAGCCCCTTCAAAATAAACGAATAATCCGCATTTAAAAATAGCACGTTCGCGCTTGCTCTCGGTTCGCGGCCAATAAAAAAATAACGAAACATCACGTTCACGCGATGTGCATCCGCGACAAATAGGTCGAAAAATTGTGTAGGCGTGGGCGGGCGCCGAAAAAAACTCGCTGTGTGGTAGCGATGCAGTTGTCGCGTGCACGAAAAAAGAGAGAGATACTAATAGGCTATGTTATATTTGGTCGCGACGAAACGTACACGTACTCGCGCGCTCATCAGCTTCCATGTATGTACAAACGACTACTACAAGTCGACGCGCATGTAAACTATAAGTACTTATTTGCGTATAAGTGGAATTGTCACGCCTCGACTGATTTAGGACTACTGCGAAGTGTCACTTTTCTCGTCCGTAGTTCTTTTTGGCCCCCCTCGAAAAATGTATTTACTTCAATAAACAATAACGAGGTACTTGAGAGATTCCACTTTTCTTTGAGAGTTTTTATAAAATATAATAATCTGAATGTAATCATATTTACTCATGATTAAAAGATAATGATTGAGCACGATGTTGCAGGTCTATAAATTACTTGATCTCGTTTATTTCATTATTGCGTCGGAAAAATTAAATAAAAAATATATTTTGATGCGACAAAAATTAATAGCAAGAAAAAATAGCCACCTACACTCTTCGTAGAAGTTAAATCGACAATTTCCGTTAAGTAAAACCACATTGTTTTCTCAATATAAAATAATATGAAACTTTTACTTTTATAATAGAAGATTGAAAAATTGTATCAAGTGTGAGACTATTAGATATTATTATGTTAAATTAAGAATTTTACTAGTTCGCACGTATAAAATAATGAGACGTCGCTTGATTATTTTGGATTGATCATGTATTTGACTTGTGTTCTTGAGTAATTTTCTTCGTCCTTACATACGAATGAAATACAGGCATGTATATGTAGTACACAATGTTTTAGGGCTAAACTCCACGGACTTTATTGCCTCGTACATGCAAGTTTGATCTTTCTTAAGTTTCGAATATTTACGCGTCCAAATCAATCTAATTTTCTCCTCGACTAGTAAATGAGGCGATACTATTCCTTTCCACTATTTTCATTTGTCGAGTGGATATCGATTTGAATTTTCAGGTGTAATAATAAGCTACTAATACTAATTATCTGTAAGAATAAGTAAATTCAACTAAACGATCCGTTAGCGTGAACGATATTATCGTGGTAAATTGCACGTAAATCGACAGCAAATTGCGAGCGTATCTAAATTGTCACGTGTCGGAATCGGCTATTGTGTTTTAGCTGCTGCATAGATGGCAGGGTGTTTAGTGGCGCGTGTCTTGGCATGACGCCTCATAATGTAAGGGTCTCTTTACCTAGCCTGCGTATACACTGCACACGTTTCCCTTGGAGCAATTTATTTGAAGCGAGCGCATGGTCGAGCTCGACTTGGAGCTACTTGCACTTGGTAGAGCATCGAATGACACTGAAATAGGCCCGACTTTCACGTGTTTTTTTCCGATTCACTTGAGCGATAATGTAGGCATGATATCCCGGAGCATGTACTTGTATACAAGTGAAGCACCAGCACGTAATATTATTCGATACTTCGTGTGCCTAATTCGTTCGAAATCGCTTTTTTATACCTCGGGTAGCCTGTGTATAGTCGTTAATCATATTGCTTTTTCTTTTTTATGTTATTCTCTTCTACGAGTTACGATCGATGTCTGCTATATTTTGCCCGCGCTTTATTGAGTTGCAATGACCTGACGTCTATTTCAGCTTCTTTCTCGGAATTTTTTTGCAAACTAACGTTACAGACTAGACATTTTTCCTATTATTTTTACAGGTCAATAAGTGTAACGGGAGGTTCAAATAAATTTTTATTAACGCGATTTAAAATTTAACTTTGGACATTGAATACAGCAAATAAAAGAAATTATTGTTCTTGAGCAAGAGAGAGTTTTTATCTTATAATATTTAAGATTAAATTACAGTTTTTGAAAAATTAGTGAATCCTTGAATAAAAAATATCACATTTTTTGGGAATTCAATTTTATTTACAAATATGTAAACTAAATTGTCTTATGATGTCTGGTTGAAAAACTCATTTTGAAATCTACCACAATTAGCATTAAACTTCCTCTAGGAGGAAAAAACATTATAAACATCAAAAGTACTCATTACTTGATACAATTTCAGTTTACTAAATACAATTAAGATTATGTTGATAATGAACCCATAATAACATTTTTAGGCAACGACAACAAAACAAGTAAAGTGTTTTAATAAGTTTATTTTCATGTTAATCTTATCGATTATGGCATATCTATTAAAATTTCTGCTTCTCGTATAATGTTCATTTATTTAAGCAGAGCGCATCGTAACTAACAGAATCGTTAAAAATTGGTTTACATTTGATGTTATGATCCGAAAAATTTTATTTTATTCTAGAGCCTTATATTTTTGACTAAGTATTTCTCAGTAGAAACGTAAAGTGCAACGATGTTTTCATTTACAGTTTCGTTGTTGAATTGAATAAATTATAAAAAATGCAGAAGACATAAAAATGTTCATCCTGAATAAAGATTTTTCCCATAATTCGAGCTTTCAACGGTTTTAGAAGCGGCGATTTTTTTTGTCTGTGAATATTAATCATCGGTATAAGAAGTCAATTACCGCTGCAAAACTCAAAATGTGTGGCATTGTTTATTGCTTCGATAGAAGTCCGCGTCGACGTGGCAGCAGTGCAATACCCTATTCCCTTTGAATCATCACCCGTGATATCTACGTATATAAAATATCTCGCTAAAACATCGAAATTTGCTCGAGTTGAAATGCCATACATCTTTTGACACTGGCGCTGTGGGTCCCATGGGTGACTTTTTGGTCACGAAAGGGGAGAGATGATTTACCCGTGGCTAGCCGAGTAATTTGTCAACACTATTCTTGTTGTATATGGTACACAGCATGCAGCAGCACAAACAGCGCACATCTGTAGCTCGATGCAGGATAATTCCAATCGGTAAAGGGGTAGTTAATGAAGCGCGACCTATAAAAGCCTGCGAGTGCCGTACGTGTGTTGTATAAACAGACACCCGCCGAACGTGTGATGAAACGCACGGGGAATGTGCGTACATATAAGGATTGAATAAATAGTTAGAAGGACGATTTTTCTGCTTGGAATGACGCTAGAGCAGAGATTAATGGTCTCAGATAGACTGGTTCTAGTCGATATCGTCATTTTGTTGACATAAAAAGAAAGAGGTTCGTCATTAAAGCAGCTTATTGAAAATTGATTCAAATGTCAGTCTTTACTCAGTTGCTTCTGAATAACGTATATGCTTTGAAAAATTATGCGAACCAGTGTTTTGAATAATTATCCCTCTGTTGAACTCTTTTTGTTTTCTTAGTCAATTTGCTAGTTTAGTAATTGTTGTGATCGATTAACTATTAATGACATAAATGCCTGTATTGTGTTTGTATAACTGCCGACAATGATCCCATATTGCTCGATTATACACCGGTAAATTACGATGGATACTAGCAAAGAAGCTTGCTTACCCGGAGCAGAAGCAAGTGGAAAATGTTTTTAGAGCAATAAATAATCACCTTCAACTTTGCGAGTTCAGTCTATCAGTTTAAGGTTTGATTATATCTCCGATTATATACCCGGGCGATAACCGATTAATTTTTTGCTCGAACAATGCGATTTGTATCTGGTGAACTTTTAATATACTCGACGAGTATTCTTGGCTGTGTACGTATGATATACGCACAATCACACATTAAAACAAAATAAATTCAACCAAAAATACGCGACTATAATACATGCAAGTAAAATAATATCAACCGAAGAAGTGAACAAACGAATAGCCGATAATTGTAATAATAATTATTATTATTACAATTATTTTAAAAACAATAATGAATATATAATCAATGACACGGCATGACACACAAATGTTTTTATTCGATACGAATTCAACTTCATTATAAGCCTTTGCTTTTTGGTCAACGACATTGGCCTATAATATAATACGGAAGAGGATGTAAGGTAATAGCGCGATCGTTGCACTGGTATTACCTATATACGTGCGCGGGCAATGCAATGGGCAATGGAGTTTCGACGATATAGGCAGTGGCAAAGCGAAGAAGGAGAACTAGCAAAATAAAGTAAAAGCCCAAGGAAGCAGTCAGAATTGGAGTCTGGAAACTGAAATGGGAATAGGTTGGATGCCATTGGAATAAGATCAGCTTTAGTTCGCGGTGTCAGCTTCGAGCCTCCGGAATAAGTCTGGCCTTATCCCGATAAGCCCACTGAGTTAATGAATCACAAAACAGGTGGCGGTGCAGCAGCAGCAGCAGCACCGTCGCTACCGTCTCCTGTTTGTGCACGATCTGACTCAATCCCTTTGCTCCTGCCCTCTGATAATATTACAAGAGAAAGAATTATTTATTAATTCTCTTGGACTAAGCTCGACCGATTCCAATTCCCAGGCTTTTGGGTTCCGAGTTTTTATTTTCGATTCAATTCGATGGAGTGCGCGCGCTAAAAATTCACAAATTATATCAATGATTTTTATAATAATAGTTTCATTAATGATAAATAATACATTTTTTTTGGCTTTTATTTGGCACATCTTTGCTTTTGACAAAGTCTGCAGTACTCTGGGCAAGTGATATAAACACTTGTACTTATTATCTTGATAGATGCTAAAAATTTATCTCATATTTGTCCAACATCAAAAGTGAGGAAAGTGTTACAGTTACAACTTGTCGTTTCTCGCGTTGGATGAATTTTTCCTCGCTCGCAGCTCGTTTTTTACGTGCAACGAGTAACCGAGTGATTTAAAAGTTTTTGCGCGCTGCACTCCTGATAAGAATATTTGTCATGAGTACAACGACGAGCGTGACGCGTCGTCCAAGTGACAGAAGGCAGGCGCAAATGAAGGAAATTCAGCGATTTTATTGTTACGAATAAAACGTTTAAATTATATGACTTACTCGCGCACCAATGTTTGTATAGCTTTATATTGCAGATTACTAACGGGTTTCTCTTCAACTTTTTTTCGTCTGGGCCTTGCTTTTGACTTGTTTATTTTCAATAGTTGTTAATGGTGCATATTATAGAGTTAACGATATTATCATGCTAAGAAATATTAATGTACCGAATCGTAATTACGGAAAATTATCACACTCTTGAACGAACTCAACGAATACTCGAATCATTGATAAGGAGCCAAGGTGGAAATCGCCCGACGGATTAAGGCGTCGCCATGAACAAAGGTATAGGAACGATATTAACGAAAAAAGCGTCATGACCTTTGAGGAAAGCTCACAAGATTGCGTGTGAATTTATTGCACAGAAATTGAAACAAGAAAACGAACTAAAGACACGATGAAAAAAATAATCAATATTATCGATTACTGAATCGCGTAAACGTGCATCCACTCAATTCGTTGATCGATATAACTAAGAAAACTGAATTAATTTCGTCGTGGCATGCTATTCTAATGCCACGCTTTTTTAGCAATCGAGCCTAAAGCAAGAGAGATGAAAGATTATTCGTAACCAGAAGCGACTCACCACGTTTCAGCCTCTCGAGAGGTTCATGAAAAATCTGATGATGGCTGCCGTTGTGCAGCATCGTTGCTGCAGCGGTCACATGGTGCTCGTGATGAGGATGATGGTGATGGTGATTATTGGCGACGGCGTGGTGCAGATGCTCAAGCGCCGACGAGCCATGATGGCTCGTCTGATGGTGCGCGTGATCCGAGTGCTGGAGATGATGCTGCTGCTGGTGCTGATGTTGCTGTTGTTGCTGCTGTTGCTGCTGTTGCTGCTGCTGCTGCTGCTGTTGTTGCTGGTGCAGGCCACTGCTGACGGCGGCGGCTGCGGCGGCCGCGTTGCCGGGGGCCGCCGACACCAGGTCCTGAAGGCATAACTCGGAGCCGGCCAGCTCGAGGCCAGAACCGGCAGCGGTGCCACCGGCCCCGACCCCGCTGCCGCGCTCCATATTGTAGTAGGCTAACGTCGTGGCTGTTGGGGATGATCACCGTAGGGAGGAAAAATTTGGCCAACTGCAATGGGCCGCAGTCGCGAACGGGGCTGATGCGTCCAGGCGCTTCCCGAGCGCAAGTTCACTCCACGCGGATCAACGCGAACAATCAAAGAGCGAGCAGCGACTCGATTATCTTTTCACTCGCTTATGAAAATACCACGAAAATGTAGAACGAAATCCAACACTGTTTTATGAGCAAGTCGTGAATTCAAGCACGCCACCCCAACGAATCAAGAGAGCCCGTGAATCTCGTCGTGTACGACGAATCGCGAGGATTACACGCGCACTAGCCACATCGGGATGTTCGCACTGACACTGAGAGTCGGCTCGTCGGCGCAGTCCTGCGCTTCTTCTTCTCTTGCACACTCGGAAGCAACTGTGTCATGAATATGCACGTACTATCTGATTTTGGCGGGTCGTCGCTTGCGCTGCGACGCTGGCGGGGCGAATCGCTCTCCGCGTCAACGATGATATAGCATAGGCGCGCGATAAGCTCGCCTCCTCAAGAATTACCGAGCTACATTACTTGCATCGTTATCAACTGCACTCGTAGGAACAACGTCGCCTGGCCAATTAGGACGACCAAACAAACAACGATCACGCACTGCACTAGCAGAAAATAATGTCTGGTGAATCTCCTTTGTTTTTTCTTTTTTTTTTTTTTAGATAAACCTTGTAGCCTTGAGGCTAAACTCGACTAGGTGGTATCTGCAAGCTCTTCCACGTCCTCGCTAAGTCCGGCTAAGCCGGTCTCTCTCTCTCTTTCCCTTTCTCTTTTTTTCTCCAACAACTAGAAAAATCGCGGCGAATACAACTCAACGATGATAGAAGAACGCATCAGTTGACGCAATCGAGTCTCGCGAGCAATGCCGATGCCGATGTTCTTTGAAAAAGAAGAGAGAGAAAATCAAAAGCAGGCACAGTTAGAGCTCCCTTGATGCTGCTGCTACTTTTATGCTGCTGCTGCTTGTACTGTGTGGCGTCACTGCTGCTGATGCTGCTGCTACTGTTCGAAAAACGGCTTGGCGTGCGCCACACAACGAAGATTCGACCCTACGTGCGTTGTTCATCTCTCTCTCTCTCTCACTTGCGACTGTACGTGTAAGCTCGTGTGCGTGTGTCACGTTCCGAGCTTGCTGCCACCGCTGATGCTGCTGCTGCTGCTGCTGCTGCTGCCCATAGACACCGTGGGGTGTGGATCTCCGTCGCTCCATTGCGGATGCTGCGTGCGTAGCCGAGGGGAGTCGGACTCCCCACTCGACTAGTCGACGCGGCGACGGCTTCGCTGCTCCACCCACACGTCGCCGCACGACAGGGGCGCAGCTCTCCCCTGCACTCGCAGCCGCTTCCAAAGTTGCGTGGCCGTACGTGCGCTTCGAGGCCGACAGATACATCTACGGCTACGGACGACCGATCGCGCTACTCGTACAAGTACGGACTAGCCTGACACGTAGTCTCGCGCGGAGGAAGAGAGCTCCGTTTCGCTCGCGTCCTGCCGCATCTTGAAAATGTGCTGCGAGATGGAATTTGTTTTTATTGACTCTGTGGAGACTTGGGCAAGTGTCCAACAATCGGCCGGAATATACTTCTTTGAGTTCGCGCCTGTTCACACTTACGCCTAGCCGAATGATGATATTAATTTATACTCGAGCTAGCCGTTCAAGAGCTTGCGCGTACTTTGAACGCAAATCACAAATGATAATTGCCAGCAAATCGATCGAAATTACGCTACTTTTATTTATTTATTTTTTTTTTTTTTTTTTCATTCCAACTTGGACGTACAAAATGTACACTATCTAAGTTTCAGATTTTCAATGGGAAAAGACATCCAAGTTTTCTCACTTTTTCTTTGTATACTTGAAAACATGAATTAGCAACTCGTATATTGACAGTGAAGTAAAAGTGCCTTACCCTTTCCCCAGCACAAGCTCAAATGTGTATATAATAAACTCCGTGGCAACAGAAACAAAAAGAAACAAAAGAAAAACAAGAGAAAAGTAAGAGAGAAAGAGAGACATATCAAATTGCTCTGTCGTCGGAGCAGCTCACGGAAAAAGTTACTTTTCTTTCTGTTGGCAGCTTGACTTTATAACTATGTGCAGAGCGAGGCTGGAAGGGTAGTAGAAAAATTTCTGTGCTACGTAAACGAACGCGAGAAGGGGTTGACTCTGTTGACTCCGCCCACTCGAGGCTCCATGTGGGCGTGTTCGAAAAAGCTTGCCCCTAACCACTGCTCTCGTGTCAGCCGACGCACGCATGTGAGTGCGTCTGTGTGTGAGACATTGCTTGCTGCAGCTAGTAGAGATCGAGGCACTAGCTTTTCCCATATACTCAGAGTTCTTATATTTCTTTGAGCTTGGACGAGTTTCTCCATGTTCGTGGTACACGAGCATGACTTTTTCTCATCGATCAATCGGGACTTGATCCAAGTCTCATGATAGAGATATAATTTGGGACGGCTGGAATTATAATTGAAAATATCAACTTCATGGGTTTTTAGCTACTCGTGACTGTGTTGACCAAATAATTTATATCGTTCACAAGAAATTGAAGCTTTTGCAAAGCGACAAAAAGATGTATAAAAAAAATTTACGTTTACGCACGCGAACAAGCATTCACGAATAAACTTACTTCATATAAAAACAAGGTGTAGCTAGGAACAAATTTTTCCATTCGTGAAATTGAAGGAAATCGAACAACAATATATTTCACTTGGGTTACATCAGGCCAGCTTATGTAGCGCACGCAATCCGATAAAAATAAGGAAAAACTTGAGAAGCATAAAAAGTAGTAAAAACGAGGAGAAAAAAGCCAGGAGAGATCACGATGGGAAGACATCACGAGAGTCTATATCCTCTTTCGGTATATTTTTTCGTCGTTCTTCTCCCTCTCTCCCTCTCAGCTTATCCATCCGTTCTTCTCTGGCTCGTCTGCTACTGCTGCAGAAACTGCTATACCACTGATGTTCAAGTCACAGCACAGAGACGCGACCCTCATTTCTCTTTCGTTTCATTGCGAGTATATAGGTGCGCTCGTTACACACTCTTTCTTTACAAATTTTATATCATTTTTACGACGCATAAAGTCGCCTAGAGCCGTTCAAGACAGCTTTTGCACTCCGGACGATCTGTAGAAAATATATAGACAAGCAAGAAAAAAATACCGTGTTCGCTTTTTTTCCCTTTAACTTTATGTAAGTACATACATACGTGCCGAACCGACTACGAATCGTCCTCCGTCCAAAATGAAAATGGGCAAAATCGAATACACATTTCGAGAGACTTGAAACATGCCATGTATATTTGCACTATCATGTTGAAACAGCACATGTTGATGAAATTTTCATAGACACGTGCTTTTAGGAAAAAACAAAATGACTATTGATCTTAAAACAGAAAAATCTGATAAATTACGCAAAAATGATGGATTTTGAAAGAATGAAACTTTATGCATATTCAATGAATTTAAAAAACTTTCAACAAAGGAGGTAATATCACAATTATAATTCCGATGTGTGCTTTAAAATGATTCTTTTTAATGAAAATTTCATTGTACTCGGAAAACGTTGAAGAATTTTCAAATTTTTTGTCGAAAATGTCGAATTTATTACATTGCCCATAAATTACTGTCAAACATTTCATCAAGGAGATTTACGACAGTTGTAAATCTTTTAAATTGTATTTTATTTTGTTGTTTGACTTTCCTCGTAACACTTTTATTATTCTTCTTTTGTTCTTCTTCTGAAAAAAAAAAAATAATAAACTCGAAATGAAGCTGGAAAAGTGGAAAGCACATAATCTGCAATAGAAAAAGTATTATCGACAAACCATTGTTCTATCGGTATAGACATAAAAAAATCTGTGCAATTGGAAAAAATCAGAAATATAAAGTATGTATAAGTTAGAGTGAACGCACGTAGCACCCTTTAGTTACCAACTTTGATAAACGAGCGACGCGTCGAGCTCTCTTTTTTGATTACAGTCCATCAATTTTCAATCACAAAAGAAGTCCTACCAATGCCTGGGCCCGAACTCGCTTTTCTCTCTCTCTCTCTCTCTCCCTCTCCCTCTTCGTACCCTACTCTAGCGACGTTGTTATATAACTCACTTGTTCCTACTTCTCTGTATATGGATGCATCTAACTTTTATCTAGCAAAAGTATTTCTGGGGTAGTACTTTAACTTTAGTTTTACAAAGATATATTTATTTTACTTTCTTTACTTTAGAATCATTTCAATATTTCCTATAACCTTTAACTGAAACGAGTTCTTTTTAGAGGGTACTGAAAAGAAAACTTATAATATCTACATAATCACTTTTCCAAATTCTTTGTTCTTTTGAATTTATGTGCATTTGAACGATGAAAAGTAAAATGACAAACAATTGTTACATAGCCAAACAAATCAAACTAAGGCAATTCTAAGTAGAATAGAAAACCACAAAACTTTGACATATTTTATAAGTAGCGACTTCCCCAGGGCTCGATGTTTGTGTAGAGTCATGAACGATTGATATATGCTCGCATATACTCCCCTGAGTAGCTTTATAGTATGTCAACCCCGCCTCGATTCACGTACCATTTGTCGACTATTTCCACAACATTTGAAGACTCTGAGATGATCCTTCTGATGAGAGAGACTTTTTTTGCCCCATAGAATACAAGACTACATGTGTGGTAAGTTTTTTAATGCAGTTATAGAAGGACAGCCCTGTTTATGCATCAAAGTACTGGCTTGTCAATGTAATACCATATAACTTGCTTTATTTAATGTTTACTCTTTAATATTTCAAGCTTTTATCAGCAATGTTTCAACTACGGCATGCTTCATATTCCATACTGAATTATGTAGAAACGGATAATTCGTTTCCCACATAGGACTTTGTTGCTAACTTTATTCAAGCAATTGATTTTCAACTTTATTACAAAAAAGTTCACTTTTTTCATGTATCTCTCAGAGCATGAAAATTTGACGTACAAAAATTTAGACGCATCGGAGTTCAAATTACATCAACGAAATCGCTCGTAAAATCGAGCATCGCAGATATTGCTCGACGGAACGGAAAATCAAATAAAAAAAGTTACTAAAAACTGCAGTAAAAACGAAACCCAATTATTCGATTTTTATGGGTCATCAAATATAATTGAGAATATATTAATGCGAAAAACATTTTGGCAAAAGAAAAGTAAAGATATATTACATACTTATTATATCGTATCATACCTTCGGCTTTTAATATCATTCAAAGATTATTTAAAATTTTATCAATGATTTTCTATTACAATTATGTAAAGAACTATGCTATTTTTTGGATTACAAAACTTTGATGCACGCATGTAGTTATGCAATGAATTTGCATATCTTTGTTGGGAGTATAAAAAGCTGACATGTAGGACAAGCTTTATTTGTTAAAGCAGCCAAACGTTGAAATTGAGAAAGCATATTCTTAATAAAGATAAGTAAGGAAGATAAGAAAGTCACACATTTGAAATTAACTCTCTCCCAGTAAAAGCAAGTCTCTTTTTTGCTTTTTGAGGGAGCTGAGACGAGTCTCTGGCAATTCGCATGTGTGACAAGTCTAAAATAGAGGCAGAAGCGCGGCACTAGACGCAGATGAGCATAGATAGGATAGAATACCCCACTCGTTGTGTTTCTGCGCCGTGACGTCAGAGCCAATGGGAAGCAGTAGAGTAGAGGCGGGGCGCGCTACTGCCCCGACGCCATCATGCTGTATACACAGCGAGTGCGAGAGAGCGAGAGAGAAAAGAGTCCGCTTGGCCGTCTTGTTTCCTCGAGCTTGCGACTGCGCTGCCGCTTGCGAGCGAATCTCACGTTTTTTGCCTCGGGCTTTTTTTTCACTTTTTCCCCATTTCTTTTTCTCGCGTGCGCGCGTCTGTGATTGTTGCTGCTCTTGCCGTCATGCGATGAAACTTTTCCTAGCGTTAGTCTGTATTTCCTGCCAGTCTTTTTTCTCTCTGCTCATGCTTATGTAGAAGGCAATAGTGCGTGGCTTTGATTGAGTTCGTGTTCCGTGTATACGCGTAGCTTATAGTATATTTCAAGAATGAGAAATGTTCTAGGCTTTATCTCTTGCACTTTTTCACTCATTTCT